GCGTTAATGGAGTGTCTTGGAAGAGATTTTAACGAGGACTTTTTAGGTCAGTGTTTCGTTTCTTTTGCATGTGATGGGGCTTCAGTCATGCTAGGGAAGAGAACAGGCGTTGCTACCCAGTTGTGTAGTAAATTCCCAAGCCTGTTTGTGTGGCACTGCTCCAATCATCGTCTAGAGCTGGCAGTTGGGGATGTGGTCAAGGAGGTCTCAGGGCTCAATCATTTCCAGATCTTTTTTGACAAACTCTATTCCTTGTTCCATGCCTCCCCCAAAAATCAGAGGCAGTTAGCGCAGTGTGCGCAAGCAGTCGGACAGCGTCTCCTGGTGATAGGGCGTGTTTTGTCCATCCGCTGGGTGGCTTCAAGTGAAAGGAGCGTCAGAGCAGTCTGGGAAAACTACAGAGTGCTTCATGATCACTTCACAAATGCTGCAAACGACACGAGCAGGGATTCCAGAGACAGAGCAAAGTACAAGGGCCTGGATGATGTGCTCACATCTGCAACGTTTGTCAGCAATCTGGGACTGATGTACGATGCGCTCACAGAGCTCAGCGACCTCTCTCGGCAACTCCAAAAAAGAGAGATGACACTGCCTACAGCAGATAGGCTCTTAACTCGAGAAATACGAGTTTTTGAATCCATGGTCACCATGCCTGGCCCACACATGACTACAGTTCATACAGCTCTAGCTGAGAAGTCCTTCAAGGGTGTTGCCCTGCGTGAGAATGGCAGGCTTGTACAGATTCATGCAGGTCAGTTTTTCCGCAGTATGGTAGAGAATCTGAGACACAGAATGACTTCCACAACCTCCTCTCATGTCAGCACAAGATAAATCCCATTACATGGCCGGGAGGCCCGGGACAATCAGCTAATCCAGGACATGAAAGTTATCCATCCTGGAAGTTGGCCTGAAGAGGAGTTAGACGTACAGTATGGGGACGTAGAGGTGCTACGTTTGTGCGAAGTGCTGAAAGTGGACAGAAGAGAGACTGTTCAGGGCTTTCGCGAATACAAGGAAACCAGGGCATCCCGTACACCTGCTGCCATGGAGCCTCTACTGAAAGCAGTCCGAACCATCGCTGTCTCCATGCACTAGTGAGTGTGAGCGGGCATTCAGCTGCATGAACGATATCCTTACTGCAAAAAGGAATGCTCTCTCTGTCAGCCGACTGTCCAGCCTGGTTTTCATTAAATGTAATGGACCATCACTAGGACAGTTCAATCCGGAACAGTATGTGAGGTCCTGGCTGGCAAAGGGAAGGAGAAGTGCTGATGAAAGAGCCTGTCCAGCTCCAGCCCCTAATACTGATGTCCCCAAGGCCTTCTGGAGCCTTTTCTAACAATGTGAAGTATATTGCAAAGCAGCTCACCCAGTGAGAAGACTTTTGGCATAATGTGCCGATTTGTACAGATCCTGGAGATAGAAGGACTTCAGACCAACCAGGGAGTTATCTGATCAGCTTGGTGTTCAATGTAACTCTTTACCATGGCTCAGACTTTGTTACTTGCAGTTACAGTTTCTCATTTTAGATTGTGCACATTTTGCATTTGTTTTTACATGTTCTTTGTTCATGCTCTTTATCATTTTTCTGAGTTGGAAAGTTAGATTGCATCATAGTTTACTTTATACATATTTGTATTCTTCAGTGGTGAAGTATATTGCAAAGCAGCTCAGCCATGTGAGAAGACTTTTGGCACTTTTTCGTTTTTCGTTTTCTGAGTTGGAAAGTTAGATTGCATTCAAAATGTACAGAAATACTTAATTTTGTTAAAGCTTTTTATAAAAAAGGCTTCTGACCAGAGCTTTGTTTCCTTGTCATTAATGTTGAACACCACCAGAGGGGCTCTCACCTGAAAGGTCTCTGCTTCATGTGTCTTCAGCAGAAGATCTAGACTTTGATTGCTATATTTTCAGTTAATATTGACCTTACTGAGCTTTAGCCATATCCGCTGCCTATCATAAAAAATGTTAAGTACAGTGAACCTTTCTAAAATATACAGTAGTAAAGAGACAAACCCACCAGCATTATAGTAGCCAAATTCTTGTTTGTGGGCTGTATATATAAAATTGACTTGAAAAAGATGCTGATTTTAGAGTACTGGCACCTTTTTCATTCCAATTCAAGCACTGATATACACTAAGCCTCTCTTCAACAATACGTTGAAGTTAGCTAGTCTATTGTATGCTATAGTAGAGCATAGCGAATTTAAATGAACCTTAACAATGCATACAGTAACCTAAATAGCAAACTAACTATCTAACGTACAAGGATGACCTTATTTTAGCAACCTCGCACAGAAGCCTTTTGGTATACAGTAGCATCCCACTTAATGTTTTACACTCTTGGATGCTACGCATAGCATCGTTAGCACAGATGGAGCTACGATTGCTCAAATGCTAACCCAACTCTAAACATTCATTAACGTTAGCTTAATAAAAACACCAGTAACATAACATAAAGTACGCAGGGTTGACTTACCGAAGAAACTGCATTCATGGACGGTCTGTTTCAACCGCAGATAAAACCTATATTTGCAGGACGAATAGTGCACCAGGAACCAACACAACAAACACTGCCGAGTTCAAGTAGTGTTCTCCTCATGAGCTGAGCCGCTGTAGCATCACGGAGCTAACGGAGCTAGGAGCAGCAGTCCCGTTGTCATGAAGGGGGAATCTAACTATATACAGAATATGTTTTTGTAGATCCAGGCTAGAAACATGTTCATTTTCTTATGTTAAGTTGGACATTTTAACATAGGGTCTACGGGAATTGCACCCATCTGCATCCATCGCCTATAGTTTGCAGCATTGGGCTTTACCGTACTGTCCCGGGGTTTGCCGCTTGGCTCTGATAGGCCAGAAGTCGGTTTGATTGCATTAGGGCTCGATTGCTTATCCTGTCTGAGTAGCCCGGATGAGGCTGCATCGCAATTTTTGACGTCGAATTTTACACACCGAATTTTTTGACATCGAATTTTAAACACCAAAATATTTGACGTCGAATTTTTTTCACTTGAATTTTTGGGATCTGAATTTGAACATTCGAATTTTTTTCACTTGAATTTTTACATTTTTATTTCACATAGATAAATTCGGAGCAAAACAAATTCAGATTCATGATTTTCAAAGTCATTATTTTCAACGCTATAAATTCGGTGTCTAATACAATTCGAATACTTCTGTCTCTTGTTTGCTTCCATACGGGCCGGCCCTGAGTTCATATGCAACTCGCAAATATCTTTCACTCTCTCCTCTCTCTCCTCTTTTCTCTTTTCCCTTCTCTCTCTTCTCTCTCTTCTCTCTCTCCTCTCTCTCCTCTCTCTCTCTCAATGTTGGTACGCAAATGCGCCTTTTTTCAAATGACCCGGTGCTCTTTTTTTGGCGGAGGTGCGCATGCGCACCTGCGCACCAGTTATGTGCAGCCCTGATGATAACCCTACAAGACCACAGTATGGCTGATTTATACATTTGAAACATGTATCATTATACCAGTGGCGAGCCGTGACTTTTATACCTAGGCCCTCTGACCCCCCTTCCCTCGAGAAAAAAAAGAAGAGATATTACGTCACAGCGTATACTTCAGCGGAATATCAAAACAACGGCCTGGGGTGCAAAACGCATCAATGACAGCGACCCTCTACCACACAGAACAACACCATTTATATAAACACCTATCAAGACAGGGCACCCACAGCCAAGTAACAATTACAAATGAATTAAGTCCGCACGGCGGCCCGCATTGAAAATGACTTAGGCCTACCTTTGATGATCAAATCACTGAAACACAAAGTCCATCCTCCTGTCCTTTTGGATGAAGCACTTGATGGCGGGTCATTCAGCTGATCCTTTGCCACTCCAGTTTATCATTGTAACTCAATCTTGAAAATGACTCGGTTAATAATTTCACAACGATGTCATCACTATCACTGAAGTGAGCCATCATGAACGAATTCATGCTAATTATAAATCTATCGATCATAAATCTATCGATCATAAATCTATCGTTTAGATTTATGATTCAAAAATAATAAAAGTAGGGTAGACATGTGGATATTATCCGGCTGAACAAAACGTGCATTTATCTAACAGGTTCGTTTTCCACAGACCTTATTTAGAGCTATTTTCCAAAATTCTATGGAGAAATCCCATTGCTCTTTTGTCGAGGGAATTCGAGCGAAGCTTACTTCCGGGTTTTAGGATGCGTCACTGCACCACTTGCATAGACATCCATGCATAGACCTCACAGCGGAACTTTTCGCGGACATAAAGTCCGCGAAAATAAAGCCCGCCCATTTAGAGGGAAGATATGATTGGTCAATTATACTGTCATTTGACATTACTCTCTCGTTGAGTTACTATAGCTGGCCCTCTGTGAATGTAGAGAGGGACCAACAAGCCCTCCCGTCTTCACATAACTCGCAGAGACGGCATTTAACCCTTCACATTCCAACAGAAACTGAACAGGCAGATTCGAAGGATTTATTTGGAAATATTATTTTAAATACAATTAAATCAAGTTATTTTGGTAAAACTAATGAAAAATATTTTTAAAAAAGTTTTTTGTTTAATGTTTTAAAATATTATTTTTTAGAATATCTTAGGCCCACAGAGGGCCTAGAGGGCCCTGACGGCTCGCCACTACGATTACATTAAACCAAAAACGTATTTTTTTCTTCCCATAAATAGAGTTATTGTGACTCAGAAGGTGTCAATGGCTGCCAACTACTCAGCATCGTTACTGCTGTCGGTCCTTTTAGCCTTTTAACTAATTAATAGTTACATATTAAGAATTCGCACTCCAAAAATACAATGTACCTTAAGAGTTGCATTTAAAGTTATTGTTAGCTATCTACATTAACTCACGTACTGCCATGGCGTGTGGTTATATTCAGTATCAGTAAAATGCTTTTATTTTTGAAATATTTCACTCCACCGGAAGTAGTTTGGGTGTTTCTTATCAGCACGCTTGACGGTTTTATTCCGGTAATCTGCGAGGCGGCGATAAGGAGTCACCGGAGGCGGGACTTCTACGGAAGGCTGCTGGTGTCGATGATTCACCGTGTGGTAATGTTCACGGCGAGAGGAGAGCCAGTGACTGAGCAGAGTGCACCATCATGGGGACGAACATGTTCTCACTGTGGCTGATATGGGGTAGGTTCTCACACTTCTAATAAGAACATCTGCTATTGTCCTGCTTAAATACAACAAAGTTTAAGAGAGTTTGGATACAAAGCTGTTAATGTGCTGTCCGCAATAGTGGAGGAAGTATTCAGTTCTTTTATTTAAAAAGGTAAAATAACTTATATAAAACTTTAGAAAATACTCTTTTACATGTAAAAGTAATCTCCAACAAATGCTTCTTCTCTAAAAAAGTATGTAAGGGTCTGTTAATGTTAAAAGTAGAAACATGTTCCCTTTACTATTATAGTTGCCTATATTATATTATAGAACTTTATTATTACTAATGCATCATGTAAAAGCAGCATTTTACAGTTGCAGTTAAGAGGGAACTCATTTTGAACTATTACCTTATTATTTCTATTATTGATTGATCTACTGACTATTAATTGCTTGGTTAGTCTGTAGGTCTAAAAATACTGTAAAAAGCAAGTAAGGTCTTCACAATTACCCATACCCTAAAGTTATACCTTCACGATGCTCAAAACTATTACTAATGTGTTAACTTGATTAAAATAATGAAAAGGAAAGCAGCAGCTCTTTTTTGGTGCAGCTTGGACACTGTACGGTTTTTTGACGATTTGTTCTGTCAATAGACTAATGACCTAATAGTGTGAACTGTACTTGTATAAACTGCTAGTTTGGTAAATTACAAAGATCATATTTTTTAATTTTTGTTGTCAAATAAGTAAATAGTGCAATATTACTCTGTTATATAGTGGAGTAGATATTTGTAAAAGACTCAAGTACAAATAACTACGTTTTGAAGTAAATTAATTGACTTACAGTCCACCACAAGAAAGAGGGAATATCAACCAGCTCATATGTTCTTTTACAGATTTCTAGGATTACTCTTAAAAGTCTGTAAAACAGATTAAAGTGCAGTTTAAAGTTCAGATCTTTTGGCTATGAGTAATAGTGTTACTTGTGTGTGTAGTGTGTCTCGTGCAGAGCTCTGCGATGTTGTCTCATGTGGAGAGATATGACGTGGTCACACCTCGGAGACAGAAGAGGAGCCTGCAGGACAACCAGGTGACCCCTCCTGCCTCACCTATAACACAGAATATAGGATCATCTCGTTGGATATGGTCAACAGTGTTTACAGCAAAAACTCCCTAAAGATCATTCCTGTCTTTATTAATACATATTATTATTACAATGTAGTACTACTGATGTGCATGCAGGATTGTTGCTGTAGCCGGTAGTATTTAGGAGTTCCTCTTTACTACTCTATATGATGTTGGATAGTGTGATCTAAAACAGTGCGTTATATTATATGACCTGATCACTTATTTTGTATGAATACATTATATTCAAAGTAAACACAATTGTCAAATAAATATTGTGCAGTAAAAAATGAAATGTTTCTATCTACTGTGTTATAGATTAAGCTACCAACAGTATATAAAGTAAACTCGCTAAAGTTAGGTTCCTCTTCCTCTCTAGCTATGACAGGGCTGTTCAGTTTTAATTCAAAGAGTTCCAGTTACTACACTTTGCTCCCAGATATCTAAAAATATCTTTAATATTTAAACTGTGTCCTATAGCCTCACTGTACGTCCATTAAATAAAACTTCAAATAAATAAACAATAACAATCTAATTTCCTAGTAAGAGCTCATTTGAGTCTTGATTGATACTTGGTTTAATGGAGTAACTCAACTCACAGCTGTTCGCTGATGGTCAATGTGTTTCAAACTTCTTAGGGTTGGACCAGGAAAACAGTGTGTAGCTTGAAAGAAGCAGCATACTATCAACTATCTTACAATATTACTCTATTTTCTGTCTACGCACAGGAAATAATTGATTTTATTGGCTGAATTCAGTGAAACTATTGCTGTATTAACTGGATTAGATGTGCCCTTGATCTGTAGCCGCATGTCAGAGAAAAAGCACGCTCCGTGTAGATCAATATTTACATTCATTTATCACAATTGGTCATGGGGACACTTTTGTGCATCACAGTATAACAGTAATCCAATAATAGGCTATTATATCAAAAAATACAATATTATTCCACCAATAATTCACATTTACCTGTAGCAGAAATAGTTTTTATTAGTGTGGCATTGCTAATTTTACACAAATGAATGATGTGAGTGCTTCCATTATAGTTAATGAGTGTAATTGTTATTGATAGTTGTTGTATGACTGACGGACATTTTTTAACAGCTTTATCCTGACACGATTCAATACCAGTTAGCCATTGAAGGGAGGAACCACACAATGAATCTGGAAAAAAACAGGTAAGCCATTTTTTGTTGATCACATTTTTTCTTTTCAATCACTTTTAAACATGTCAATATTTGTAATGATTATTTATTTTAGGAATCTCATTGGGAAAGGCTACACTGAGACACACTATTTAGAAGATGGGAAACGGGTTACAACATCGCCTAATGAGGTGAGTTAGCTTTCACAATCTATTATTTAACCTAAATACTACATCATTATCTTAACATGTGTATACCTTACCTTAATAGTTCATGTGGAACTTTTCATTTCACCTTACCAGTACTTTTGACTCTACGTGAACCCAACACGATAAAGATCTACAATTCCATACCTGTGATTCACAATTTCATGGTCATTAGAAACAAAGAAGCGCTTTGTGAGTCCTTTTACTCACTCTTTAATCTGATGAATGTATTCCTGTCCAGGAGCACTGCTACTATCAGGGTCACATTGAAGGCATGAAGGACTCTTCAGTCAGTGTTGGGATTTGTTCAGGCATTAGGTAAGAAAATCTTGATATTTTTACAGCTTTAAACTTCCTATTTGTAATATTCCACTCAACATTTCTCCAATAGCAGTTTCTAAAACCATGTGTTCTTGTGAAATGTTGCTTCACTATTGAAATGAGGTAACCTTATCGTATTACTTCACCCTCCCTGCACTATAACTGCTTTTTTAGTCCATTTTTTATCTTTTGATTGTGTTTTGAAATGTCATTCTGAGGACTTTCTTAAACCACAGTTGTCTGTGATTACAGTGGCTATGTGAGAGCCCAGCAGCAGGTGTACCTGATAGAGCCTCTGGGACAGTCTGAGGAAGGGGGCCATGCAGTGTACAGACCGGAGGACTTGAAGACCATCAACTCCTCGTCCAACACCCCCCCGCTGTACGACCAGGACCAGGCCCAGGACCCACGGCTCTCCAGCCTCTTCAGATCCAGATCACGGGTAGGTGACATGGGTATGATTTCATAGTAAACCATAAATAAATGTCTGGTTTATTCTGTAAAATAAGAATATAAATATAAAAGCTGTATTTCTGTTTCCTTCTTATCTTCAGAAAACCAAACCCGTTGCAGGACCACAGAAGTTCGTCGAGCTGTTTGTGGTGGTGGACAATACTGAGGTAAATACCTTAATTTTATTCTTTTACAACTATGACTTCCATGTAATGAAGTTGGTCCTTGGGCCACAAGATAGGGGACTTGCGGAAATAACTTTACGGAATTGCCCCCATGCATGCCCACGCGCAATAGCCATTGGTGATGGTCAGCAGACAAAGTCCGCGACCTAAGTGTGCTGATTCCTGGCATCACAAATTGCTTCCAAGGAGTGGGAACGTCACTTCTCTTGCGTAGAAGAACAAAGAGATGGAGAGGATAAACGATACCAACTCTATATAGTTGGGTTCACCTCTACACAATCCAAAGGGTCTGGAACCCTAATCCAAGAGAGGGGCTGGACTCTTCTCCAGAGTCGCCCAGGTCGAGAGCTGAGAGTCGAGGTGTTTGATTCCAAGCTCATGAGCGCTGCTGAGTGTTCACCGAAGAAGCAGAGAGTCGCCTCTATGCTCAGTTACTGAGAGGAAGTCTTTGTTTGTGCCAATGCCCTGAGATAAGTTCAGAGTATCCGGCGCCTCTGTGTCTCCTGATGGGATCATAAAAAGATACTACCTACTGTAGAGTCTCTGTAAAATCTTCTGGCTAACTTCTGCGCTCGCATGTGCAACGATGGATTAACCTTGAACGAGGCTGATTTAAAGAATGGTGGCCAAAATGAATTTCCTCTTTTGAATGGCTGGGAAATAGGGAGAGGAGCACAGACATCAGGAAGGGGCTTGAAGTGTAGCCAAAAGGAGGCATTTGAAGAAGTTCTAGGACCTTTTCTGGTTGCTTCTTGGGTGCATCCATTTGGAGGTTTTGCAAGTACGTCCAACTGGTAAGAGTGCGGGTGGACCTAGAAAAGACTGCGTATATTCTTTATCCCATCTGGCCTCGGAATTCCTTAGCAGGAGTTGGAAATGTTGCTGGGGAGAAGGATGCCTGGACTACCTTAACGGCAGAGAATGAATGCATGGCTGGATATATGAACCTGATCATGTTTGTCTCTTCTCTTCCTCTAGTATACGCTATATGGAAGCGAGACTAAGTCCCGGGTCCTCGGAGCTATAAATCACGTTGACAAGGTAATTTCTAGTTTGGAACCTGTTTGCCTTGGGTCGTTCTATCAGGGCTCTTAGCCAGCAGCTCTCAGCTCATTCACTCCTGACTAACGTTGATTCCTCTGCCTGCAGCTGTATCGAGCTCTGAACATTCGCGTCATGCTGGTGGGCTTGGAGATTTGGACGTACAGAGACTACATGGATGTTGACACTAATTCAGAGACCACCCTGGACCATTTCCTCCTGTGGCGGCAGTCCGATCTTCTGAAGAGGATCAAGCACGACAATGCCCAATTTGTGACGTGAGGATCAGTCCGTCATTTCTGTGCAGATGTTAAACACAGTGGTGTTTCCAGTTTTACCTGATGTTTGGCTTTTTTCTCTCAACAGTGGCAAAGATTTTGACGGAGACACAGTTGGACTGGCAAATAAGTTTGCCATGTGTACCGAAAACTCAGGTGGAGTCAATCAGGTATAAATTATGACCCATTACTTACAATTATAATTTAACGACTGGAGCAGAAGGGAGTGTTTTTAATAATTTATGAACCATCCATCTGAATTTAAAGCAACAGCTCTGCTTTTCTTATCCAGGATCACCATGGCAACCCAATAGGCCTTGCCTCTACCATTGCTCATGAGGTGGGACATAACTTTGGCTTGTCACATGATGCTGAAGGCTGTATGTGTGGTCCATCGTACAGCAGTGGGAACTGTGTGATGGCAGAAAAACTCAGGTAAGGATGTCACTGCATGTGGACCTTTAAGTCCATCATGCTGCATCTTATGATTTAAAAAAATCACTGTGAATAAACAATTAAGCAATCACAGTTTTCTGGAGTCCACATGCTTTTGGCCATTAAGTATATTTACTAGGGCCGGGACTTTAACGCGTTAATTAAGATTAATTAATTACACAAAAATGAACGCGTTAAAAAAATTAACGCATTTTAATCGCACTTATTTTTGCACCGCGGAACGTTTCACACTGGATGAGTTTCAGGCGTACCGATTATACTGGAGCACCAACTAACGTTCATGACTTCAGACAACAACAAACCACAGTGAACAACAGTGGGAAATGTTGTTTTAAAAAACGGACGGATGGAAGCGTCGATAAGAGCACGGTTGTGTGCAAATTATGCAAAAAGGAATTCGCATATCACCGCAGCACATCAAGCCTCAAGTATCACCTCAATGCAAAACATATAGCAGCTAGCGTGGAAGCTAGCGTGGACGTTAGCCTCTTTTATCGCGTTCACACCAAAAAGAGCCGGTACTAAAATTAGTTCACCCCACGAAAGTCCCTGCTAGAGAGCAGGGACTTTCGTACGGCTCTCTTGTGAGAAGAGAGCTATATGTCTGATTGGCTGGGCGGATTGCAAACCACGCCCCGTAAAACTCCCAAAAAGTTTGTGAAGCCGCCATTGTCGCCATATCCTCGCATTAGCATTATTAGCATTAGCCCAGCGCAGAAACGCAGAGAGACTAACTTATGGCAACACAAAATAAAACATGGGAGCGGTGGAGATGTCGGCGTTCTGGCGATTTACTCGGAAGGCTTCAGTAGAAGCTGCTGGGACTCCCAGCAGCTTCTACTGAAGCCAGTCCCCAACTCCGGGGACTTCCGGCCGGGGACTTTGGGCGGCAGTATACGCCGTGAAGTGGTTTGCGGCCTGCCAGTAAACCCAAAGCAGAAGAAGAAGAAGTGACGTCAGCGGCTTCATTTGCCTAATCTACCCCCAGGTTCAAAGAGTTCTCATGAACCTTTGTGGGAAAAGTACTGCGGTGTGAATGCGCCTAATGGTATACTAAAATCCATGTGAAAAAAATTGCTTCTCACTGTTCTCAGGTCAAATATTTATATGTGATTAAAAATGCGATTAATTTCGATTAATTAATTACAAAGCCTCTAATTAATTAGATTAATTGTTTTAATCGAGTCCCGGCCCTAATATTTACTGTTAATAAAAAATGCATTTTATCGTAGGCAAAGCTGAATCTATTTACTCTTCTTCAGGACAGGAAATCAAGCATTCCCAGAGTTTTTCAGCGGCTGCAGTGTGGAGCAGCTAGCCGAGTTCATGGCGCGGGCGCAGCCCAGCTGCTTGTCCAGACCCAGCTCCATTACGAACATCGCTGCAGGTCCTAGCTGCGGCAACAACCTCCTGGACCCCGGAGAGGAGTGTGACTGCGGCCCTGTGGAGGTAAATCTTTCAGCAGTGTCTGAGGCTAATGGCACTGGTTGGAACAGTCATTTTTGAAACCTTGGAAAGTTTAAATATAACCTTTGGTGAAGGAAGCACCCTTTGGGTTTTCTGCTTTAGCTGACTGGTGTGGTTTCCTGTGTGCCAGCCTACAGCTAATAAAAGGGAAGGCAGTGGTGATTCATAGCATCCCAAGCTGGAGTTTGGCCTCAAAAATGAAAATAGTTTTCCTGTTTGCTTACATCAGAGAGACACTACCCTTGGCAAATAAACTGCTTGTGTTGAAGATTTAAATCTGATCTGTTTAAACTTTCATGATTGTAATTCCTGTTGTATAAACAAACATGATCAGTGACAAAGATTGTCTTTATTCCAGGAATGTCAGAACCCTTGTTGTGATGCCTCGACTTGTCGCCTGACTGAAGGATTCCAGTGTGCTCAGGGAGAATGCTGTAACAACTGCCAGGTACTTTAGATTTAAAAAAAACGGCGTAATCACAGTTGCTATGTGAAATTCCCATTTTACAAGAGAATATGTTGCCAAGATAGCAGCGCTGGGATGCTTTACAGCTGTAGTCTGAGCTAAAGGCTAACATCAGCATGCTAACATGCTCCTGATGATACACAGGCAGGGGCGGACTGGCTATTGGGAATACCGGGAGTCGGACAATTCACTAGCACCAATTTTTTGTTTTAAATATATATTTGTTGTCAAACCATAGTCTTGGACAAATTACAATTTTGAAAAAGTCTTGGGATCACCCAAATAGGATCCAAAATGTTAACCTCAAGGAGGCACTACAGGAAATGGCAGAGGATCACCAAACTCATTAGGGTCCATCACCTGGGGATAACGAATGTGTAAACTATTTGTATTGCCAGTCCATCAAACAGATGTTTATGTATTCACACCGTTGCCGTTTGCACTTAGAGAGGAGTCAGAGGATTAACAATTTTACTTTATATATGAATGTCAATTGTACATTTCATAGCACTTCATCCAAACGTTTTTAGTACACTGTTGGGAAAATACTGAATGAACTACTTCAATATCAGAGTAGCACATGATAACAGAGGCCCATCTGCAGCTGTGTACGTAACAGGATGTATGATTACCTAGAAGAGCATCAGGACACACTGTTTTAGGCGTACGATAGCTATGTGACAACGATTAACATGATGATTCAGCCTCTATGGAGATGGACATATGACTAGCATGATCCTTTCTGGCGTGGGTCTTAGCTGATCTAAACTAAACATTGAATACTGCTTTGAACCGGTATTCTGCATCTTGTGACTGTAACCCTCTCTTGTATAAGCATGTGAAGGACACTGTTCAGGAACTAGTCGTACCAAATGCTCTGTATGTGATGACTACTTCCATTCTTGAGAGGATAATAAATACATGCATCCTGATATTGAAGCTCAAGCCAGTGATGAGTGATATTTTTCTGACAGACTGAAACTCAAACAACATTACCGGCAGAAAGGCTAAAAGAAACCTCTACACTGTGAAAGCCAGATCATCTCCACCATCAGTGGACGTTGAAGGCACTCTACCAAAAGACCAATCATACAGACACACCCTGCTTCTGACTAATAACTGTGGGCATTACAATAGCACCAGGAGGAGGTTACTCTTCAAACCACATTTAAACAGCATTAGTACGATAATAACAGGAAACAGAGGGTGATATCCTGCTGTGCCCATGTGCTTTGACACACCACATCCTTCCTCTCTAAAGACAGTTTCAAAGACTGGAAGAGGTGGTGGAAGTCTTGGGCTATATAAATAAAATGTGATTGATTGATTGAAATTCACCTTTATGCTTAATAAATCCCCTAACACTAACTTAAACCCACAGCTCAAACCGGCAGGAGGTGTATGCAGAAAGTCAGCCAGTGACTGTGACTTGCCTGAATACTGCACCGGAGAGTCAGAGCAGTGTCCTGAAGACAGCTTTGAGATGAACGGCAAGCCGTGCTACGACCAGGCGCAGGGCTACTGCTCCAACGGACAATGCCCCACACATCAGCAGCACTGCTGGAGGCTGTTTGGACCAGGTACGCTCCCCACAAAAACACAGGTTTCACTGTTTTCAGTTTTTCTTATATAAAAAAGCTACGCCTCAAGGGGCATAAGTTAATATTAATATGAAATTCACAGAAGTATCAGTGAATTTCAAAGGTTACTTTAATAGTGTGCATTTGTTTTAAATAAAAGGACTACAGGGAATTTAATGAATAATACTCTCTCATAGAAAAAAAAACTCCCCGCATCTACATAAGTGTGTTTTTAAAATGTCCATCTTTCGTGATATCCCAACATTATATAACACTCCAACTCTGAATAAGGCCTTATTATGCTTTTTGGAGTTTCCCCTTTCCTGTAGTGTGTTATGTAGGTTTGTGTTCATGTAATTAGTCTGCAAAGACATTTTATATTGGACTCTTTTGTTTACTTCCATAACATGGTGACATCACTATGTAACACTTGTGCTGCTATTGGCTAGTGCCCCAACACATTGTTCTAATAGGCAAAAGGGCAGGACATCTCTTAGCGGTTGACCAATCACAACAGAGCCGGACAGCTAACCAATCAGAGCAGACTGGGTTCTGGTTTCAGACAGAGGGTGAAAAGAGGTGCTGCAACACAGGCAGTATGAGAACAATAAAGCATGTATGGAACATTAAACATGTAAACAATGTCACAGTAAAGACACTACATACAAATATGAACCTGAAAATGAACATACGTCCCTTTTAAGCACTAAAATGATCCCCTAAAATCTTCTTATTTTACAATGTCTGAACGTGTTAAGGAAATTACAGCTGTGCCCTATTTAAAGTAAGGCAACATTGTGGGTAAAGATATAAGTGTAAAAGACAAATAGAAAGTTAATAAATTAAACTTTTGGAGATTAGGATATTTCATACTTTCGATTCATTTTTATAATCTCTTTGAATCTCTTTTTGATGGGCTTCCATACAGTACTTTAAAGTGCTAACTAGAATATCTTCTATCTTCAGGGACCAGAGTTGGATCAGATGTGTGTTTTAATCTGAACACACGGGGCGAAGAAGGTGCAAACTGTGGAAGGGACAAATTCAGCTACATCCCCTGCACTGCACCGTACGTATACTCAACATTTATACTGAACTTTGTGCTGAAAGCACAGCGTGGTTTACTTTTTGATTTGATCTCAAAATGCCCCTGAAGGAAACCTAGCACACAGAATGTAACTGAAAAGTACTGAAGACATCTGTAAGGCATTTTGACTGTTTGAGGCTAGTTTGTGCAATGATGTAATCTGTCAACAAGCTCTTGACCATTTTGTTCTTTTTTTTTTTAATAGGAATCTGAAGTGTGGGTCTATGTTTTGTGAAGGAGGAGGCGAGTCCATCTCAGGTAAAAGGGCAGACTTCCGCTTGATCGGCTTAGAATGTAAACTAGCAGTGGATGACGATAAGACCAGAAACATCGACATGGTGCCAAAAGGAACCAAATGCGGACCAAACAAGGTAAAACCTCCTGTTGGGAGACGCATTACGTGGAGTTTTGTGACTTATGATGGATGGTTTGCTCAGAATCAAACATTTGTGTGCAGGTTTGCCTCGACAACAGATGTGTGGATATGTCAGTTTATGGGAAAAAGGAGGACTGTTCAAAGAAATGCAACAACAATGGGGTAAGTGAGTTATTTTTGGGTTTAAAATCACTTGCAGCTGTTTTCAATTGGACTTCTCTGGACCAAAGTTCAAGTGCTTGACTCGTGTTTTAACCAATGTATTTGCATTTTATATTCAGGTGTGTAACCACAAGAACGAGTGCCACTGTAACCCTGGCTGGGCTCCACCCTACTGTGACATCCAGTATGCAGATTTACCTCAAGGTACAGGACACTTCTCTGGATCTGATATGACAGTAGATAAATGCAAAGTCCAATTTTGTGAGCAGCTAAATACAAAATGTAATATTGGTTTAAACCGTGAGCTCTCACTGAGCAGCTCAGACAGAAACAGGTCCCAACTGCTCCATGAATCATTCTTCCAGTAAGAAACATAAATTATTCATTATGAAAGATCTGCTATTTCTTCTAACTGACCTAAGTGTTCTTGGTGTATCTTGGTGACCTCAGTTATTATTAGGAGTCACAATTGTCATTCACGCCACACTTTTCCATTTATCAACTTATAGGAAGTTGCCTTTCACATATGACATCACATTTGCAAACTAGTTAAGAAACCATTTATTCTTCAGTTAACAGCTAAAATCGAAATGAATAGGAAGGACACTTTGCGGTCATCAGTTTGGAAATATCTTGGCGCCACACTTTGTTCACTAGAACCAGTGGCGGCGCCAGAGATTTTCTTTTGGGGGTGCTGTGGGGTAGCTTGACGTTTCATAGAGGGTGCTCAAACATTTAGGGTTTCCCATTAATGTACCGGTCGCTACAGTGGAACTTTCTACTGCAACACACCCCACACGCACAATGATATGACAACATGACAGTAATGCTGTAAGACTGTTGACTACTTGGAAATTACCTAACTGTTTTTCTGTCAACATATCAGCTTCCTTCTCGTTTTTAGAAGAAGCCACTTTATCAAAACCACAAGAGGAAATTCCGTATTTGCTCTCTTTAGTATTATAACAATTTCCTTGTTTTAACATGATCCTTTTTGAATTGTAGAATGTTATTTGTTCACATCATTAGGGTTTAAAGAGTCATGTTCTAACCCCTCAAAATGTTTGCAAACAGTCAAACTGTGGCTACAGGACTTCACACATAAAGCTGTAAAAACAGAGATACTGTGTACAATGTGGCTCTGTAACAGTTTGATTTCCCTGCCTGCAGTTCAGAGTGGGATAATAGCCGGAGTGTGTGCAGCTCTCTCCATCCTCCTGACCATCACCGCGGTGACTGCAGGGCTGATGTGTTGTAAAAAGGACAACACGGACAACTTCATCTACAAAAGGTAATTCATCCTAAAATGTTTTCTCTGTTTCCGTCTTCCACATTCCAGTTAAATATATTTAGTTTTTTAACAGGAAAGGGAATTCTGCCCCAGACAAGCTGAACCCGATGTTTCAGGACGGGAGTGTTAAAGACAGACCTCAGATCAGTGCGCCCACTTTCATGGCGTCAACAGCAACACAAGCCTACGCTCCTCTGGTTGTTACCGTGACTCCCAGCAGAGCCGCTCCACAGGTACAGACAGCACAACTACAAAAAGGATTACTCATGGAAACTCATTTTCAAAAATCATTAACTCATGTGTCATTTCAGTCAAATAGCTTGGAAAGTTTGCTATGCCAATGCAAAGTACTGTGATGGTTAATAATTGCCTTTTTCTTCCAGCCACCAAAGAAACTGTCTCCAGTCTCTCCTACAGCACAAACTGAGCCGGTAAGATTAAAAAAACAACAGCTTGCTATTTGATCTAATGCATAATGCAAACTAAAGATCCTATTCAGGGTTGGCGTCTTAAGACGGCTGCTTACATCTCATTTATTTAAGCTATGGAAATCTCTGTTTGAGACAGACATGTGGTGTGTAACTGCTTAAAGGGGGAACCTGCATTCTTTTCTTAGAGTCAACAAATCCCACAAAACGACTAAAGCAAACATTATGTTGATCTGTGTACATTCCTACTGAACAGTTATTTTCAAAACAGCTCACAAATATTTGATAGTTTTTGAAGTACTCTCAGAAGGTGGCCAACTGTAGTCTTTACCCAACGTCACTCAATCAGGGGGATATTGTGCATTTGTTGGAGACTATTTTCAGCAGAAGTGAGTATTAGCAGCACTAGTATGGTCTTTGTGGGATTGGTACAGTGGCGAACCGTCAGGGCCTTCAAGGTATTCAGAGAATTCCCTGGAACACTCAGATAAAACAAACAAAAAAATCGATTTAATTATATAAATAAAATGTAATAAAATGAATAAATGAGAATGGTATCTGTGTTGTTGATCTGTAATATTACAGTGTTACGTTGATTTGTTTGTCCTTCTCGGACCATGCACTACGTATTTCAGTGGTGTTGTGTTAGAAAAGAAAGCAACCAATCAGATCTTGTTCTGGGTCTCTGGGTAGAATATCCTTCAACCAAGGTATTCTACATCCTTGATAGAATGCCCTGGCCGTTGCACTGAATGAGAGCGTACGTTTGGACTGACAGGTTGATCAACCAATCATATATTGATTTGTAGCCAATGGGCGTATTCTTTCAGAGGTTCCCTCGGTTCCAGGGTACTCTAGAAGGCCCGCTAGTTAACTGGCTCGAGACAGAGGATCTAGAACGAATGCGACGAAGCAATTCATGCCGTTTTATTGTTTTTAACGTTGAAATGACAAGTGCAACCGGTGAAGATGAAGTTGTTGCGGAATTGTTGTGAGTACCCTTTGATGTGATAGCCACGGTTCGCCACTGGATTGGTACATCATTTATTCTTAAACTGTTGTTAACTCTGGGTTTATCTGTTTAAGCCAGGAGATAAAGCAATAACACACATGTTCTTCTTTACCACAGGCAAAACTTCTACCTCCATCTCTGCCTCCTCTGAGTAAACCTCAGGTGAGTCTCACCTAAAGCTGCTCTCACCAGGCTCTCTGCAGAGGATGAGTTCACTTTAAAAGACTGTTCAGTAGTGCCAAAGCTCATCAGTGTAACAACCAACTAGTTTGACAAGAGATCAATGATTTATGTTATTTCATGAAGCAAATTATGCCAAACATGTGTTTATTTTAGCTTCTTTAACATGAGTTCTTCATCCATGTCCTGTTTCTCATGCTACTGTAACATGAGAGTGACTACTCTGGGAATCACTTGAGTATTATCGTACAGTTACTGGCCATTAACAATAGTGAAGACTACCTTTCTTTTTTGGGGTCCAAATAAAATCACAGAAACATGTTTTCCACAAAGCTCCATACATGGCTACTTCATATATATATACGATTGTCTAACTGTCATCTTGTTTGTTTTTCAGTTGAATGCAGCCAAACCAGCTCCTCCTCCTGTACCTCCAGTCAAGCCTAGCGCCCCTCCTGCTGCCAGAGTCAAGCCTAGCCCCCCTCCTCCGCCCCCAGCGAAGCCACAGACATTCAGACTCACATGAAAGTCTCAAGCTTAACTAAAGCAGAAAAACCTCCAGCATAGTCGTATATATGGAAAAAGAGCGATCCTTTTTGGGTCATATGTGAGTCACAGATTCCAAAAACGTTTGTCTTGATGCGTCAGTGACCGCGGCTTCACCGACTGAGAATGTCTTTGATGACCAACAGCTCCGCGCGGCTGTAGAAAAGTGATTATGGGGTGGAAAAAAGTCTCCATTTATTTAACTGCCGGTACAGTTGTTTGTCAAAAAAAGTTTTTCCTGCTCACGTTTTCCTGTGTTCTCTCTATTGCGTGGGCAAAATGGTGCACATTTGAAAATGTATATTCATATTTATTGAATGTCTGTGAAAGGGACTGTATGTAAGTAAGGGGTATTTAAGTAGACTTCAATGAGGGTCCATTTCCGTATTTCCATAATATCTAAATTGTGTCTTACATGCAGAGGTGGGAGAAGTACTCAGAAGTACCATAGTGTAGGGCAGTGCTTCTCAAAGTGTGGTCCGTGAGCGCCCCCTAGTGGTCCGTGAGTATATTGGTAACATTTCACATTTGAAATAAATAAATAAATAAAAGTTTTCCGCACTCTCGTGGGAATATCTCCGCAATGGAGCGAGCTTAAGTTTCACTTTCAATTGCATGATATAGCCCAGCGCAACACCTTCATCACACATGTTGCTACTTGTTTGTACCATTTTCAGGCAATTTTTAATCTGTTCTAGAAAAACGATGTGTTTTTGGATATTTTTGGAGTTAGGTGGTCCGCGAGTGTTTTTTTATTGGTTAAGTGGTCCTTGGTATGAAAAAGTTTGAGAAACACTGGTGTAGGGAAATCCTGCATTCAGAATGTTACTCAAGTTAAAGTATAAAAGTATTAGCATCAAAAGTAAAAGTAGTCGTTGTGCAGATTGGTCCATTTCAGAATAATATATATTATATGTTTTATAATGATTCATCATTTGTGTTGTGTGTTATTTGTGTTTTATGGACAAATCTCAGCTGTTTTGATCAAACCATATCATCATAAGAAGCAGCAGGTTCCTTTTCTCAAAGTCAAAGCCTTTTGGTTAGATGTCAGAAATAGGCTCTGTGGTTTGTTAACACTAGCTCAAAAGTGTTGTTAATGTCGTTGCCCTGCTTGTGAATTTATAAGCTCCTATGCGTCTTAAAAAAGGCGTTGGCTAACAAGGGAAACATTTGACTAAAAAACGTCATCAGAGAAAAATCTAGTCCTCCTTTAGCCTATTCTAATGTTGTTTTTTGCATTTGGGCAAACATTGAATGCATCATAAATGTTTGCTTGTTTTCTGCAACAAACCGAATGGAATACTCAGTAGATTTTGTGGATGGATCCACCAGTTTACCTACAAAAGTACATCATCCCTGCAGCACTCTAACAGAGGCTGAATTGTTCCATAAGTTCCTAAGTGAGCAGATCTCCCACACACTCTCCAGTTGTATTCTTTCTAAGCACATGTTTGAACCTGCTGCAGGGATTTGAACCTGTTCATCCTAAAGAGCATTAGAGAGGTCCAACTCTGATGCTGCTGATCAGGTCTGGCTCACAGTCCAGTTCATCCCCACTCTGTTGGATGGGTTGGAAGTCTGTGCAGAACAGCCTAGTTCTTCCAACCATAGACTGCTTCCAACGCAGAAATGGGAAAATATTTCAAAACCGCTGAAAATGTTGAAGATGTTTTCGAGGCACGAGGAGGGAGTTGAGGAATGTAGGCCCGAGCAAAGGGGAGCTCGTCTGATTCGCTCTGAATCACAACCTAAGCAGCTTGTAAACCAGCGCTGTTTACAATGACTGTGGTTTGTTCTACAGCGAGGCTCTGTCTGCTTGTTGCTCTCTCAGATCAGATTTACTGGACTGAATCCACAGGGGATGATATGCAGTGACATCATCCGCCTTGAAAGGGGATCTGGGCGTTTAGTCTAACATGCAGCCATGTGTTTGTTCAATCCACAAGAAGAATTTCCAACGACGCCATGATGTGTCTTTTCTTGTTCTTCCATGTTTGATTTAACTTCAGTTTCCTCATGTCTCAGACTCAGTCCTAAATAATGTCAAATGTCTAAATAACAAGATATGACTGATGACAGCTTGCTGGTTGAAATGTTTCTGCCGCAGGAGAGAGCAGACAGTGACGGAACATGAGTTTTCATGACAAATCACTTCCACATTTTGTTAAACAGCTGAGGCTGAACGGGACCAGAAAAACTTAAAGACTGGCCGTGAGAAGGAAGGAAGGAGGATAATCTATGTGACTCACTGTTAATCACTCACTTTGAAGGCTAGAACAAAGCTTAAATTGTTGACTCAAATCATCTAGATAGTTTCCAGCTTTTTAAGAGCAGGAGTAACTGAAGGCTCCTTTACTGTGTCACAATTAGAAAACCATCGAACAGAGGTAACAGCTGTTGTTTCTCACTTGTTTCCATGTGACGTCCTTATGAGTCAAAAATAAAGGAACTCTCACTTTACTCTGGGACATTTTTAACAGAATCCATAAAGGTGTTTTATTTCAGACAATAAAGATAAATTGCGTTCTGTCTGAGCATCAGTGGTCAACGTATTTTTTACTTGAGTAAAGTAATTGGAGATATTACCGTGAAATAGAATGGCCAATTTCTAAATAAAATACATGTTACTACTGTAGATTACAATTGTGATGTTTAAATGTGTTTAGTTTAATGTTGCAGATGTTATCAAATCAAGCTCGACACAAAACATTTGACACAGGATTAAAGTATATAATTTATATACAAAAAAACGAATACATTAATTATTATAGAAGATATCAGTTATGTTTGCCTTTTGCCTGATTCTGCGTCACATACATAAGAGCAGGGGTGCTTTGAGCTTGTTGCTAACACATGCTAATGTTTTGCAGGTATGTTTACCATGTTCACCATCTGAAGTTAGCATGCTAGCGTTCGCTAATTGGCATTTGCCACAGAGTACAGCTAATGGGAGCACGATTGATTTTTCAGGTCAAATAAAATAAAAAAAGGAAAAAACAGTATTTCTTTTTTTACATGATGGTGTTAGAAGATATCTTAAGGAGTCACCAAAGTGATTAGAATTCATTCCGAGAGAGTCAGGAATGCCTGCACAACATTTCATTATGAATGTCTGGCATCAAAGAGGAAACAGTGCACTGGAAGCAGGTTAAAGTCATTTTATTGTATTACCAGGCAAACATTTGATCTTTGTACAATGACATTACAAAAAATTAAACATTTAAAGACCGATGGAAACAAATACTTAAATGGAAAAATAATTGAAGAATTGAGTTACTTAAATACCAAGAAAATATATGTATCCACATCATAAATACAACTCAGAGGGTTTACTTGTCTCTAGCCCGAAGTTACCACCTGACTGGAACTGCAGTACATTCAACTATTAACCATCCGGGCTCCAATCACTCACCCTGATCTCACTGTGGGTCAAAGGTCGACTTATCTCCATTGTGTTATGGAATCCACACTGTGTCACACCTTATTGTACAATGCCGCGTTCATGTCAGAGATAAAATAGTCCAGCCCAGAGTTAAAAGCATTCGTTTATTCAGTGAGTTTTCAAGCAATAAATGCCTAATGTACCTACCCTAATGTCAGAAGATATTAAAATACGCTCCTTATAGTCTTTTCTAATAATTACTTATTTTGAAGTGACTGAAGCCACTTAAAGATATTTATTTTTCTGTAAGACATGAAGCTACAAATCCTCACATTGGAGATTGTATTTATATAGTATCTATGATTTAATCCTTCTTTGAAGTTTATTTCTGTCCCATTGTTTAATTTGTGCCAACCTGATTGGAAACACTGAACATTTTGAAAAACATAAAACGTCCAAATATTATTTATGACAATGAACTTGGCGGTGTTATGAACTTGGCGGTGGTTTGCCCTTTCTAAACGCTTTAAGTAGCATTTGCCTTTTACAGATTTGATTGAGATTTGTTTCAACTCTGCACTACATTTCCATGAAACATGTGTAGCTGTGCCCTGAACGCAGCATCCAGTGAAATAAAATGTGCACATAAATGAGACATGACACTTATCTGGCAGACAATTCAAAAGACATGTACAGTATGGACAGTGTATATACATGATGGCCAGCCACGTCTGTCACATATATCATGACAAAAGACTTCTGCCTATGATACAGAACATTTAAAAATAATACTCAAAATAACATTTACAGAGTCTAAACCCCAGACTGTGTACAGCCAAATATATCAAACTGATTATGAGCGACATTAATAACAGTTTAACTGTTTGTAAATCTTTCTTGGCAGCCTGGAAACTTTGCCAAGAGGATACATGGGAGTATCAAAGTGCTGTTTGCTTGATTGTAATTTCCTCCTCGGCACCCCCCCCCCCCCCCCTCCCACTGCGACCTGTGTTTTCCGGCACACTATTGAACTCGCTCCCATATTTTCTGTCCAGTCCTCTCATGCAATAGATCCTCCTCTTTTTGTTGCACGACAGTAACAATGTATTTCAGATGTTTTATTTATTATGATGTGTATTGTGCAGCAAAAGAAAAAAGTAGAGGACACGGCTTCATTGTTTTTTCTCATATAAAAACATGAATCCACCAAAGAGACGACGGAGTGGACGGACCGAGCATGAGCGGGATCCGTCTGGAGAGTTTCTTTTAAAGACCGTAGTCCTGAGTCCATGAACAACTGTACAATGTTGTTTTGTTCTCTTGTCTGCTCGGTGTTAGCAGCTTACAGTCTGTAGTGTAACACGGAGCACAGGCGGGGTGGGAGGACGCGACTAAGCGCTTACGCATTTCTCTTTTTCAATTTTGTTGTTAAAGTTTCGTATTGAGTCCAGCTCCAGTCTCGGTCCTTGAAAGAGCAAAACCACCAGGTGTTAAGAGTCAATAAAATATATCATATCATATATATATATATATATATATATATATACACACATATATATATATATATACATATATACATATATACATATACACACACACACTAATCCCCTTCCTTCTCTGTGTCACCAAGATGTATATGAAGTATTCTGATCACATCTTAGTATTTATACTATCGAACACCAATAAAACAAGTTGGACTAGCTGTGTAACAAAGAGTAAAGACATTTAGTCAAAGCTGTACTACAGAAATTCAGAGTTTCCCACCATCAGTTCATTCAGTCATGTTATCATGTAGCCCAAAAGTTGAGTAATACACTCGGGAAATGATGAACTGGTATCGGGTTGGTACCAGTTGAAGTACCAGAAGGATTTGCATTGGTACATCTGTACAGACACTGAGTGTTAACATGTGTTGCTCTGTTTAGAAAGACAATTGTTTGTAAAAGTATGCAACAGTATTCCAATATTAAGAGATTATTATTATATAGTTTATTTTTAATGAAATGGAGCTGACACTTTTCTGAGCACTGAGGAATTCCTACGCAATTTAAAAATCACAATTATGACATATTGTTCCTTCGGAGAATGTCATGCGACTGTCTGTCTTTGCTGATGTGTCTGAGTGTCAGCACGCAATAAGTGGACTTGAAAAGATGGAGGACAAGTTTAAAAGGAGAACTCACCACTATGCTTTTGGTCTGGTCGTCAGCAGCCTCCTGCATCAGGCTGGTCAGGTGACTGAGGTACTTCTGGTTCTCCTGCAGCAGACGGGGCGCGGCGTCGCTGTAAAGAAACACAGACAGTTCAGAGGCCTGTTCACAACTTAATCACATGAAACCCCCCCCCCCCATCACATGTGCAAAGCAGGACACTACTGGCTACACAAAAAGGCTGCGGGACGCAAATGCACCCCGTTACAAAAGGGTTTATAAATGTATTGATTTGACACTGGACTGGAGCAGAACACATTATCTCTGCAGCACAGGCAGTATGAGAAAAATAAAGAGCTTTTTCAACATTAAAGCATGGAAACATGTCCCAGTAGAGACACAATATTAAAAAAAAGAACCTAAACATTTCTATAATAGGGCGCCTTTAAATACATTTACATTATAGAAAGAAATGTGTCATCCTGATTGTCTATACCAGGGGTGCCCAACCAGTCGATCGCGATCGACCGGAGATTCCCAGTCGATCGCGGGGAGATTCCCAGTCGATCGCGAGATGTGTCTAAAAATAGAACAACAATATTCTGTTTTATCGTTAATGTCCTATAACATAATCTTCCTGTGCCAGAATAATGCACTTGAACGCATCAAAGCTTTGTGATTGGCCAGCGTGACCCCATGTGTCGGGGCGTGGCTGGTGGGCAGTGCACTAGTTCGCTGACGTTGTCTGTGGCAACAGCATGGATGGTCAACAGGAGTGACAGTCCGCACACACACAAGACCGCAATTATGGCAGAAGCAAAAAAGCCCAAAATATATAATTTTCGCTCCGAGTGGGAGGATCATTATTTTTGTATCTATTCCAATTCAAAGTCCATCTGTCTCATCTGCAATGCGAGCGTGGCTTTATCGAAGAAGGGTAATTTAGGAGCGGCATTTCAAAACAGTGCACAAACGCTACGAGACGGAATTCCCTCCTAATTCTGCCCTACGCTCCAAAAGGGGAGGGGCCTGAGAGGACAGCTAAATGCACAGCAGTCCATTTTCACCAGGCCCAACAACAAGAGCAAGGCTGCTACCAGAGCATCTTATCGTGTCAGTCACGTTCTTGCGAAACACATGAAGTCTTTCAAAGACGGCGAAGTTGTGAAAGAAGCATTCCTGGAGGCTGCGACGCGCTTTTGGGGACAGTAAACAACAACAATAACAGTAGCATTTCAACAGGTTTTTGACATAATAAAAACTCAAGTTGGATACCGTTATTAATCAGCTGTAAGTTTTAGTTTGTTTGAACTTATTCATTATAATTATTGTACAAAATGGTATAAGAATGCAAACATTAAGATCTGTTCTGTTTAAATTGATTATAGTCTATTATCAATTCAGGTTAAGAAACTAGTGTTGCTTGCATCTTATTTTTTTTTAAAAGGCATTTATTTTTATACTCTACTAAAATGCAACAAAAAAAGGGTTTGATTCTATTAATTTTGTCTTTTTTATTGCACTTTGGCAGCAGATTCCTGTGTAGCTTCAGATCTGAGTTGTCTTATTAGTAAGTGTAATTTATACTTTTGTAGCAACACTATTTTTATATAATGGCAAAGAAAGGGTTCAGAGTCTTTTCTTTTTGTCCTGTGTCATGTGGCAGCACTGTTCAATGTTTCTTGAAGACATTACCCACTGTAGTGTGTGACGTGTGAATAAACTCCAACTCTGTATCAACAACACTGTTGTGTAACTTCAGTTAAATACTTGTATGTGTGTAGATTAGAAAGAGGTAAAATAAAGGATCTGCAGTATTTTATGAAGTATTAATCGTACAAAGGTCAGTTTTATACAAGTAGAAGTGTGTACCTGGTAGTAGGCTGTCAGTAATGGCTACGCCTCTCTATTTGGACTGGTAGATCTCGGCAGACTGGCAACTTTAAAAGTAGCTCTCGGTTCAAAAAAGGTTGGGCACCCCTGGTATATACTATCATTGTGTTGGTCCGTACACAAAATCTAAAGGCTCGTACATAATACCCATGTTCAGGGTCTACGGACAGCTGCGGTCCCAGGGATATGCATTCATTTCCATTCATACGACAATTATATTTAAAAAATAATCATCAGAGAGTGTTGTTGTTATTATTATTATTTTCCCTGACTCGCAGCTATAGAGAGGAGCGCAGATAATCTACTTAAAACGGCAATCGCTTCACTGAATTGAGGCAATCAAATCATTTATTTGTTTTGCTTAGACAAAGAACAACATTGTAAGGTCGTAAACAAGAAGATAGCATGCTGCTACTTTTAGGCTACACACTCTACAACACTGGTTTCCTGGCTTAACCAAAAAACACTAGATCCCTCGATCCCTACGTTTGATCCACTTCAAGTTGTGAGTCGGCTTTGTTAAAACCAAGTCCCGGTCCAGAGATGAGCTCCTTCACATGTGGAACAAACTCCACTCAAGCCAAGCTTCAAATTACTGGCAATGCAGCCACAAGATGAACTTTGATTTTCTTTCACTTGAAGTGTAAGATTCAAGTTCATTTTGTGAAAATAAAGGAAGAGATTTGTTTTCACATACAGATAACATACAACTTGCATGTTAAATGATCCTAGTGACAGGATGTATTGTTGAAATGATATAAAAAGACACGTTGCTGATTATATTTAATAGATGTAGGCTATAGGATGCAAGTTAAATATGATGTTCAGACCTTACCTATGAGGAGACTTGAGTAAAATGACCTTGTTGAACTTGAATTGAATACCACTGCTCTAGGAACAGAGGGTGTTGTTAACTGTTCAGAATGTAAAAGCCCCTCAAGGGGAATTTTTTAATTGGGATATTAAGCTTATAGTTAACATTGACTTGAAAATACGACCCTAAGCCCATACAAGTGAATCTGGATTGTTAGACAGCTAGCTGTACACAAGCTTAAAGTGGCTATAATCAATGATAACAATGACATGACTGCTTGTATATGGAAAGTACCGCTCATAGTAAAAGACCCACAGAGTATGCTTTATAGTGACTTTAACACTTAAAGACCAATTTTTCAAGATCAATTTGTTTTCTATGTTTTCACATAGATAAACATGAAAAAGGTCAAGGCATGACAGAGCGAGCATAAGCTGATCTGAATGGATGGATGATCTACCTGTCATTGGGCCCAGGTAAGGAGGTGAGGGGGTGGGGGGAGCTGACAGGCTGTGCAGACTGGGACCACTGGGAGACCTGCAGCAGGTTAGAGGACTCGGGACTGGCTGCTATCGAGCTCCGAGACGAGTTCTGAGCCTAGAGGAGACAGAGAGAGAGACAGAGACACAGAGACAGAGACAGAGACACAGAGAGACAGAGACACAGAGAGACAGAGAGAGAGACAGAGACACAGAGAGACAGAGACACAGAGAGAGAGACAGAGACACAGAGAGAGAGAGACACAGAGAGACAGAGACACAGAGAGAGACAGAGACACAGAGAGAGAGACACAGAGAGACAGAGACACAGAGAGAGAGAGAGACAGAGACACAGAGAGACAGAGACACAGAGAGAGACAGAGACACAGAGAGACAGAGACACAGAGACACAGAGAGACAGAGACACAGAGAGACAGAGACACAGAGAGAGACAGAGACAGAGACACAGAGAGACAGAGACACAGAGAGACAGAGACTCAAAGAGAGAGAGAGACAGAGACACAGAGAGACAGAGAGAGAGACAGAGACACAGAGAGAGAGAGACACAGAGAGACAGAGACACACAGAGAGAGAGAGACAGAGACACAGAGAGACAGAGACACAGAGAGAGAGACAGAGACACAGAGAGAGAGAGACACAGAGAGACAGAGACACACAGAGAGAGACAGAGACAGAGACACAGAGAGACAGAGACACAGAGAGACAGAGAGACAGAGACTCAGAGAGACAGAGAGACAGAGAGAGAGAGACCAGAGAGAAGAAGACAGAGACACAGAGAGAGAGAGACAGAGACACAGAGAGAGAGACACACAGAGAGAGAAACAGAGAGAGAGACAGAGAGAGAGACAGAGAGAACAGAGAGGAGACAGAGAGAGAGACAGAGAGAGAGACAGAGACACAGAAAGAGAGACACAGAGAGACAGACACAGAGAGAGAGACAGAGAGAGACACAGAGAGAGACACAGAGAGAGACACAGAGAGAGAGACACAGAGAGAGACACAGAGAGAGAGACACAGAGAGAGACACAGAGAGAGACACAGAGAGAGACACAGAGAGAGACACAGAGAGACAGACACAGAGAGAGAGACAGAGAGAGACACAGAGAGAGACACAGAAAGAGACACAGAGAAGAGAGACAGAGAGAGAGACAGAGAGAGACACACAGAGAGAGATCTTACTGATAAATGCAGGAATAAGAAACATCCCCCCCCAAGAAGGAATGCAGGCAGCTCCTCCTCCCCGTGTTTATGTGTATTTACAGAAGCAAGGTCTGAGGAGGAAACAACAGAAACTACCACAGCTGACTAACAGAGAGGCTTTAGGATACATTCCACTATTTTGATAGTTACAAAATAATAGAAAACTCCTTTTCAAACAAAAGTTACCAAGTTATAGATCATTCATTTTAGATTTGTAATGCCATGTTTTCCTTATATGATAATAAACGTGACTTTGCTGGTTTTGAACTGTAAGACAACACAAGCATTTCATTGACATTTCATTGACCGTAGCATTAATTGATTCGGAAAATAATCATTAGTTTGGCATTCGTAAATATAACTTGGGCTTACAAATAGGACATTATTAAGAAATCTTTTACGACATTATGAGTTAGAATGTATCAGTTCATCCAGAAAACGTTCTGCGGTGAAGTCAAGAACAAAGAAGAACGACGTTCATCTCTAGGACAACGCAACATGGTTTTGCTCTGAATATTAAAGCCCTCAGTGAAACCAATATCATTTGATGTCTGTACTAGAAAAAGCTTAACTACAAAAACTACAACTGTTAAAACATTGATGTAGAGAACGCAGAGTCACTTACGCAGGCGATCTTCAGTAAATGCCAGAACTCTCTTTGTCTCTTGATCTGCATCTGCATCACTGTGTTGTCGGCGTCCTTGATGCTCTCCAGGGTTTTCTCAATTCGTGGAAACAAGTCAATGATCTTCTGTTTGCTGATCAGGATCTTGCTGTTGGGAGGAAACGTCAAAGGGCAGATGTTAGCATCACTTCAGAATGATTGAGCCAACATTCCAACGCTGAGCAGTGTTTTTGTTTTCAAGTTGTTTTCTCTGGTCAGTTGCAGATGAGGATTAGATGATGTTAATATCATTAGTTATAAACAACTTGTAGAATTAGATGCAGAGGTAGTTTGGCTGCGTAGGATTGTTTTTGACTTGTGCGATCTGAAACATTTCCAATACCTCCAGAATGTTATGCTCCAAAAGGCAACATTTATTTAAAAGAACAACGCTGTAATAATTCCACACGTCACAATATGTGGTTATCTCAAGCAATCCTGGACTTGAACCCGTATGTGTGAGCCTTTAAAAAGGTTTGTACTGGAGTCAAAGAAAGGCTTTCTCTTCTGCCGTAAGCACACAAAGGCTGAGGAGGACACATTTAAACTGATTAATTCATTTATTTAAACCGAGGATTTTGTGGAAGAATTGTTATATCATAAGATATTATAACAAATGTTCAAAACCCTTTGATTCAACCCTAAAGAATATATGAATAATGGATGCTAAGAAGAAAGAAGCACAGATCTGAATAAACACTAAAGTCTGTTGGAGTGTTGGACAGTCCTCTTACCTGAGGTGTGTGTACAGATCTTTGAGGACCTTGTCTTGGTTCTGCACCGTCTGAATGATGGCCTTCACCATCTCAGAGCTGTCGCTGCTCACATCTGTCTCAGGTACTGACACGGAACAATCACTTCAATACTGAACGCACATTTAAACTTCAACACAATCATTTCTAGTTGGCTTTTTGAGGAGAAGCAAGCTATTACATTGGTATTGTAACATTTAGAAAGACAATACATTTTTCTTACTTTTGCATTTCATCTTCATTTGCTTGTAGAGCTCAATCGCCTTTTCTTCTCTGCAATAAAATCAATCAAAATCACATTTACATACTTTCAAGACTCATTTCTACATCATTGCTTGTGCTCCAGGAATGACATATTTGACCTTAAAAGTCTTGAGCAAAAACAAGCTAAACTGCAGCTTCTGTCTGTCTCTCTTAAACAGAAGGTGATTGTCTGAGCATGTTTGAAATGCCCCATGGAGGAGACACCACTCACTGCTCATACAGCAGCACAGAGGAGCATTTTGTTCATTCCCCACAAATTGAGAAAAGCTATTTTAAACTTTCCAGGAAGGCCTCGAGAATGTGTCTTAACACTATTGGTGATTTGACTTTCACCCCACACCCATTAAGCCTAAGAGTGGATGTTGTTGTTTTTAAGTAGTTAAACTCAATAAAATAGCTGTATCGATGTTTAGGATCAAAAACTCATGACCAAAATGGGACAAAACCCAACATCCTAACTCTACCTACGTTTCCTGTTCATGTATTCATTCACTATTAATTATTTTCCACCATCCTCTGAAACAAGCAGCAAAAAACTAACCAATCCAGACCTTGCAGTCTTGACATGTATCTCTGTAGCCCTGACAGGAGGAGTCATTGAAAGACCCCTGGTTTGGTTCCAGGTGGGGACCTTTGACACTTTGGCCTTAAAGCTCTCAACATTAAAATCATTTGTGTAAACGACCACAGCACAACTCACAGCTGCTCCATCTTGTCTCCTTGGCGCCGAGCGTACGGACTCCTCTGAAGCTCCACTATCTCCGAGTGCAGAGCCATGATCTCATCGTCCAGATGGCTCACCTCCGCCACCTACAGGACAAACCAGGAATCAATCACCAAAAGGATTGCAGAGAGACATTACAGGCCAAATTCATTTACATTTAGAAAACAAGCCTTACCTGAGCAAAAGCCGCAGCTCGTTCCTCGTTCTCCTGCCAGGCCTTCAGCATTTTTTCAGAGGCTTTAAAAAAACATACACAGCTCATTAAAACAAAACTACATCTTGCTCATTTAAAACAAATATAGCCATGTAAATGTTCTCCATTAGAGGGGTATTTAGTGAACACTCACAAATGCCGTAGTGCATCTGATCGCTGTATTTCTCCAGGTCGTACTGGATGCTGCTCTTGAAGAAGTCCAGCTTGGCCTTCAGCTGCTGAGAGAAGCCGAACATGCTGTTCTTACACCGGGTCAGGTTGGTGTTGTAGCGCAGGAGACTCAGCCTGGAGGGAGAGGATGGAGACCATTTAGAATAGGACAGGTTTGTAAGGAAGATCAAAAGCACCATTACAGGCTGGGGTTAAATCCCCTGGTGCAAAGCCCCTGATGTGGCCACCAGACACATCAGGCAGAATGAGCAGTCTCTTCAGGTGTGTTTGGTAACAAGGCCTGGGACCACACTGACTCTTATCCTGTTCCACATCCATTACTTTAACCCACATCTCTTCAATCTCCCCATATGCAGATATTACTTGTACTTGACATTCTTAGCCGTGAAGTTGTGTACATCCCTGGCCTGGACAATATGTTGCAGTCCTGCACAAACGCTTTCACTTTTTCATATCTTTTGTAAATGTCTAGATTTGAGATGTTTTTGTCTCTCAAATATTGTGCCGTGTTTATTGTAGAACTGCAACAATGAGTCAACAAATCAATAAGTGGATTGAGAGAAAATAAATCCCTTAAATTAACTATTTCATAGTTCATTTATAGTCAAACCAATTTCTATGTTGTTTTTAGTTTTATATTATTAAAGTGAATACCTTCCCATTTTGAAATGTCAAAACAGGGCATTTAAAGACATCACCTTGGTCTTTCACCATTTTCAAACATTTCATAGACAAAACAATCCATTTCTAAATATCCTGGCAGGTGAAACAACAATGAACAATGGTGTTAGTTTACTTTCATGCAACAAATCATCAAGACAAAGTACTGGGATGTGCAAAGCTACTTGGAAATACAACTTTCTTCTGATTTATATGAAACTGTTTAACTAAAAACAAATTGTCAATAAAAATAACAACAAATGAATATTTGTCATGTTGTTGTGGATACCAGATGTGTCATGTGACTCACATGGCAGCCCTCTGTCCTTGGAAAAGCCTGCTGTAGTCATCCTTCAGCCCACAGATGTAGCTCACTGCTTCTCCCCAAACCTTCTTCAACACCACCAGAGGCAGCTGGGTCTTTGCCTCTTGCACTGCGGAGTTTAAACAAGATGAGTCGGGACTAGTGTTGCACGGTGTACCGATACTTGAAAGGTACCGCGATACCCTGCCGTTAAAAACGGTACGATTCCTCCGTTTCACTAGTATCGGTACTTTCAGAATGACGGGGAAAAGTACTCCGGTGAGAAAGCGCCGTTTTAAAGAGCCGTGTGTGTTCAGCGCTCTGCTTCCATTCCCTGCACTGCAGCCGTGCCTGCAGTCCCGCCCCTCTCAAGCACGCTCTAAGTCCCTCCCCTCTCTCGTGCACGCGGCCACGCGCTAGCTGCCAGAGCATGTGAGAAAACGAGAAGCATGGCTGCAAGTGGGAGTGCAGCTGCCGCTGCGTCTCGGCTTGTTGACAAAAAAGACGCCAGAAGCTAAATGTGGAAGTATTTGAGCTATATCTCTGACAGTGAGGGCAAGCCTACGGACACCACGAGGCCTCATGTTTTAGATCCCTGCAAACCAAGGGAGCCAACACATCAGACTTGGCTAAGCACCCGCCGACCGGAATCCAGAGCTGTTTAAAGAATTTAAAGACAGACAGGTTAGCGAATGTGATAGATAACATAATTACATCATGCTCAAGCCCATGCCCTCAAATCTAAGTCAAACAAGTGTAATTTATTTTGTGACAAACGAACGTTTTCGTAGTTTGACGAGGCAATTAATGGCAATGATAACTGTCTAATATGGCTATCTTTTTAGCTAACTTGCCAATGTGGCTAACATCTGCAATATACATTTTGTCAATAATTATTTATATTACTGTACTATTACATGTTAATATAATATAAAAAAAATTATATTTTATAAAACAAAAAAGTTGTTTGAGATGATGCTTAATTTGATTTAATACGAATTCTTGTCATTTATTTTGTTTATTGTTCTCATTGTTTAAAAGTTTGTGTTCTGGTTCTGGTGTGAAATAAAGCACAATAATTACATTTAAGACTGTTTCCCTTTTTTTTTTTAAAGTATCGAAAAAGAATCGGAATCGCAATTCTTGTCTTGGTATCGAAACCAAAATGTTGGTATCGTGACAACACTAGTCGGGACCAAATAGAATCCGTCAGAGAATCCTTTTTACACCTGACAAGCTAACTGACACAGGAAATAAATGTTATCTTCTGATGTGTTCAATATAACGTATGCATGTTATGCTTCAAAGTACCAGTTGGCTTCTTTGTCTCAGCATGAGCACACCTTACAATAGACTCACCTATAGTGTTGACTTTATCCGGCAGTTGTCTGGCGCTAAGGGGCCCGGAGTACTTGGTGATGCTCTTGTCAAACAGGTAGACGATGTAGCTATCCCAGCCTCTCTACACAGGAGAGAAGAATGTACACACTTATACAGCCTGTAAGTGCCTTTCCTGTCACTTCAAACAGCATCATGGACTGATTCAAAGTCCCTTGGAGCACATCCAGTAGGCTTCTGTGAGCCACGTTACCTGCAGACACAGCTTTTGTTGTATCATTTTAGTGCTTTAGCGCTGAGTAAAATCTTTTACACACCTTTGCCTGTCTTTTAAGGGTTCCAATGGGAGCCCGGCTTAAAAAGGTTAAAAAAGTGAGTTTTTGCTTTGTTAGCAGAAGGAAACTGGTAGGGAAGTTGAAGGAAACAACAAAGACAGCGGCTAGACTTCATTTGGGTCCTGAAAATCATCCAGGACACCAGCTAATGAAGGTTTTAACTCCAACAATTAACCTGAGCCTTCCCTTCAGTATAAGAAAATGAATGGTTTGGATGTTAAATATAAGTTGACTGAAGTTTCTAAGGGTAAAGAGGAAAGTTACAGCAGTTAAGTGTGATTCGGCTGTTATCTAAACTGCATTAAAGTGAACGTACCACTCCATCCAGGACACACTGTGCAGCAGGCTTCCTGGGGTCCAGGGACACCCCCGTCTCCTGCAGCAGCTCCTGGTTCACCACCTCGATCTTTGTCTCGGCCTCGATGCGCATCTGCAGACTGTGGAGACTTTCCTCTGGAGTCAGCTGGAAGGAGTGGACCTGAGCTGTGGTCATGTTCAGGATGTGGACAACCTGGAGGGAAATTAAACATTCACTGAACTGTTTGGTAAACTGAAGATATATAGAAAGCACTCCAACTCATCATTGACAGTTCAAAGAAATCCAAAATTGATGCTGATGATGTTGTCATTTTTATCCACGGCTGAATCCTAAGATAAACTCAGTCAGTAACTCACCTTCATACTCAGTATCTGCTCCAGCACATTAAAGCAGGAGGGCTGCCTGGTGTCAGGGTTGAGTTTGCCTCCTCGCTGGACAGGATCCCACTTTAACATGAGCTGCAGCAGAGATTCCAACGGCTCCAGCAGTGTGCTAAAAACAGCAAATAAAAGATGTGTTCAAGGAGAGAAATAGATGCTAAACACTCCAAATACTGAACTTACAGTTTGCAACAATCCATATTCATACTTTTGAAAAAGGGCTGTACTTAAAGTGATTTTCACTTTATATTCCTAAGCAGCCACTGCGGGAATCTAATTCTACAAATAGTATAATACTAATAGTAATATAATAGAGTGCAGCCTCATTTTAAGTGTGCCGAATTAAATACCAACTTTAAACACAAGGAACAGACATGAAGAACACATTGTACATAAGTATTACAACATTTCGTTGGCATCTCTCACTGCAGTAATATAAATGACATAAATAAAGACCATGCACTGCAATAATTGTATTTCATTTCAATGTACATATTGACAAAAGGTTATAAGCTTTACATTATTTGATCAGCCCTAGTCTTTGAAGAGATATGTTTGCCAGTCCCAGGGTCCTCACCTGCTCAGATTGTTGGGGTAGGGGAGGTGTGTGGAGAAGCGGACTTCCCCGTTAGGTTCCTCTACAGCCATGATGTCTTTTGGACCTTTATTCCTCACTTTGCTGGCCCTGTGGATGGGAAGAGAAGAGATGTTGATGATGGATGACTTAACATCTAGAAACAAATGCTTTTTATTTTATGCCACGCATAAAAGCACAGAAGTAAGATGGAAAATTAAACATTTCACAGTGTTCACAAACACTGAGTGAGGAACTTTCTTTCATTAGATGTTTTCCTTAAACACAGGGCTACATTTTGTATACAGGAATGATGATTATTGTTAACTCACTAGGTGTTGGGCTGGCTGCCACACTTGTATTTTGTCAAGAGGTGAAAGGTGAGATCCAAATGTTTTGTTTTATTTTTTGTTTGCCAAGTTCTCATTTCTGGGATTTGGCTCCACCTGCTGGCCTTTCCTGCTTATTATTGTTCGTCCCTCAGTGTTCTTAATTGTGTTGCTTTCGTATCTTATTGACCTAAACCAAGTTATTCGACTTTCTAGCAGAAATATTACAGGTGTGGGACCTAATAGACTCTTAATGATTTCCAATGCTGTGTACTGGATCCAATCACAAGTTGAAAATACTCCAACTATCAAATGAATTGATTGCAACACAAAAAACATTCTTATGGATTACCGGTATTATCATTACCTACCATCTGATTTATTTGGGCGAAACCAGAGTTTCCGTTAGCCGGTAATTACCTGACTTTCTAAATCTCTTCGGGCAAAATAATTTCCCCTTAGGACAATACCGCTTCAGTTGCGCCACTTATGTGACAGACAAAAGAATATGTGACAGACAAGAATAGTCAATTCTAATGTCTAACACTTAATGTGGAGAAAGAGATGTCCTGTATTGATTGTGCGTTGATCTGTTGGTAATGCCTCGGGGTTCCGGTGGGCATGTAAACAAATGCATAATGCTGCGCTATACTTTGCGGCCTCACCCGGTTGCATAGCGACGCTTATTGTTTAGGTGTCTTTTAATAAGCAGGTAGTCATATCATTAGCTAGAACTAGCTGGATCTGATCGATATGGACATAAACGCGAGTGAAGTCTAATCTGACGGGAGAGAGATCAGCTGCTGCTGACGAGTCGACACGCAGCTCTGCATGATCACCTGCAGGGATGAGCGGAGCAAAACACACTCCAGGTTAGAATATCACACGTAGCTATTTTAATTACCTCTCAAACTACCTAAACTAGTTATAGATATGTTTAGTTTTACTGTCGGGTCACTCATTACTGATCTGCGAGCTGTCAGGAGAGAGAGAGAGCGCTCCGTTTATTATTCCCGTGTTATTGTAAATTACTGTACACTTTTGAATAGTTAATCTACTATAATTAGTTTGTTTAATATCGAATCAAATCAATTTATTTTAAAGCTTAATAAATAACAAAGAAGACCTTTGACCGGCATTTTTCTCATTTTGTCCGGAAGATTTAAACTTTAACGGACATGTTGACCGGCAAAAAAAATTCTAACGGAAACTCTGGGCGACACCCATCTTGCTCTGGGTTTTGTTACTGCAATTGCCATAATTTGGGGGTTTGGGGGACATAAGAAAGTAAATATAATGTTGCCGTGGAGTCAGTTGACCTAGTTAGCTGTGTATTACGACTTTGAGGCCTGTTTTGACTTAGTAAGGCTATTATTTGATGTCTGCGTGTACAGATTTGATAGAGTTGTAACTCAGATGAGTTTTGACACAGAATATGAAATGGGGCACTGAGGGTATAAGGTAATTAATTTGTCTCCATGAGCTGAGTTTCACACCTTCTGCGGAGACACTACAATAGAAAGTGTCCCGTTGTTTTTAGAACACCAGCGTGAACACGTCTCTTTCACCTCACTCAGCATCTTTGCCTCAGCTCCTCCCTTTTCTAAGCCTATGTTCTGAACTGACTTCTAGACTGTCTTTTGATTTATGAGCTACTAAAGTCTCTCTGTCTAAAATAAATCCCTCCCGCTCGACATGTAGATGTCCTAATGTTTTGCTACTCAGTTCAACTCACCACTGCACAGGCTGCAGGTTGTGCAGGAAGGGGCGGAAGCCACAACTGCATTCAAATACCATGGTGCCAAAGCTCCAGAAGTCCACCGTTACAGTGTATGGCTTATTCTCAAACAGTTCAGGTGCCTGCAGAGAAAGCATGCAATTCAACATGATTCATTTGATCCACAACTATGTTATCTTGCATTTTACAGGCAAAAAAACCGATATAACACACAAGCACAACAGGACCCCTTTAAGGCAGTAGACATATTGAATCATTCTAAAATATAATTAGAATGATTCATAGAGCTAGTATATCGGATTGTAAAAACAAAAATGGTCTTGGTTTGCTTACCAGGTACTGAAGTGTGCCAACGAAGGAGGTACACAGACTGCCCTGGTCCAGGTCTTTAGCGTAGCCCAAGTCAATGATTTTGTGAACCAGCTGCAGAAGAAGAATATGTTAATAAAACAAAGTTGGTTTACTACGTGAGGTCAAACAAAACCAAACGGTCAGTTTACCTTTCCGTTGATATCTTGCAGCACTATGTTTTCAGGTTTAAGGTCTCTGTGTATGATCTTGTTCTCGTGCAGATACTGGATACCAGATCCTGGAGCAGAAAAAAGTGGTTTAACCGAATGATGTTCTAATAAAGTACACATCTGATTGAAGAAGCCTCACAAAGAGAAAACATTGGTCTTACCAACATCATTGAGTAATGAAAGCACTTCACTCTCTTTCAACCCGCAGCAGTTTTCAGGTTTGCTCAGCAACTGTAACCCACACACATGTAGTTCTGTTACATCTGCATTTCATCTACATTACATGAATAGAAAAACACTCTCATACAACATACTACGGTTGTAAAGTCATCTGTTTATCTGATGGAACTTTAAACATTGGACGTCTGCACTTTGACGAGTTTTACAATACTCTAAGCCGGGTACATTTGAAATACGTGTATGTCTGCACTATAATGGCCTCAATCAGAGAGAAAATAAATATCTGTTCTTCTCCCTCCTCTTTTAATCGGAACATTTTTTAAACTGTGCATCATAGCCAATATCGAAATGTATAAGACGGACCTAGCCCTGTAGTCTGCTGAGTCTCAGCTGGTAAAACATCCAATTGATCTCCTTATGCCCTCCTATGTTTTGTTATGAAACAACCAAACGTATATTTAAATTGATTCACTACATAGCATTTAATTTGATTACAGCATAACATGCTAGATCCGACAATGTCAGTTGAGAAGATCAACGATTGATTTGATTATTTTTTTAAATAACATTTGCAGGTCTGGTAGAAAATAAATCAGTAAAGCCGTTTCATGGCTAAAATAACATTTGAGGTGATTGGTTTGAGGTGTATCCACTTTTGAGTTGAACCTCTGAGTTGAACAGTTCTGTTTTCAGGTGTTAAGATTATTTTCTCTTTGCATATATTGAAAGACAAGAATGAAAAAAATGCAAATTCAATTTTAGATTTATCTTGCTTTATGTGGATGTGTTATTTCTTATCTTCCTTCCGAGGTGAACCTCACCTTCCTCAGGTCTCCCCTGGAGCAGTACTCCATGGCCAACAGTGGAAGGTCATTTAAGGCTATGTGCCTCATTTCCTCTGGGACATCTCGGGCCGTCACGACATTGATGTTATTCAGCCTGGAGAGAGAATGACCGGTCAATGCTGCATTACTTTGTATTGGTCATACAGATGGTGCACTGAATGTCTGCAGTTTTTAATTTATAACAAATTATCACTTTGAATAAGTATGGTCACTATGATTCCAGGAGAGCACAGGATAATGTTGCTATAAATCAGTGTGAAATTTAAACAAGTAATATATAAGAATTGTATAAAAATAAGACCGACTTTTTCATGATCTGGATTTCTCTGCTCCATCTGTCCTTGTTCCTTGGTGTGAGCTCCAGACGGCACATTTTCACAGCTAGTTTTTCATTTGTTTCCTACAAAACAGGAGCCAAAAAGTCCATTATTGTATCAGAGCATAAAAGCTTACCCCAGAAATAGCAGTTTGTGTGTATCACCCTCATAGATGTCACAAAAAAAGAAGACTTTAACAATCCAAATAGAAAGTAAGTTAATAGTGATGCAGTTATCATAGTGGTTGTCTTGCAGGGTTTTAGTGTTCATTGTCAGGGTTATACGGCTCTAAACTCACATGATGTTGGTACAGGTAAACATGGGCAAAACCGCCCATTCCCAGCCTCTCTTTCAGCTCCCAGTCTCCGCAGTTCTGGTTCTGCCTGAAGGGAGGTTTCTCCATTTTTGTCACCCAGGCTGTGTATAAATGACATGTACATGACACAGTTCATTTACATTCAATTTATTTTTAAGGCATGTATGGTCACAAACAAATGGCGACGTTTGAATTCCTACATAGCTAGCTTAGCTAAATACAACTCAGGGCCGTGGCTACATCCTGGAAAAGTAATGTCAGATTACATCGTAGTTTGCCCAATACCGAAGTCATGTTGACATACTGTGAAGATTTGGTACAGGTTGCCACTTGAATTTAAGGTAGCTGCTAAACAAAAACACTCACTAAATGCTTTTTATTTATTTGTTTTTTTCAATGGCTAACAGATAGCTAGCAGCAACGTAAAGAGTTTAGCCAACCAACAGCAGCCCAGTACATTGCAGGAAATAGACGTGCCCGGCTCCTCTAGCATTATGGCTGACAAATAAAGGCTTTGACGCCAGTTAAGTGACATTTAAATGAACGTTTCCGTTTCTAAAGCAAGTTTTGAGACTTACGTCGTCTTTCTATGAAAGTGTCATGAGCTGTGTGTCGGTAAAACTGCGTACTGTCCGGTTGTTTTCGGTTCAATGCAGCAGCACGGTGAGAATGTGTACTTTCCTGGGTGACGTCACCAGAGTGCCCGGCTGTTGGAAATGAAACAGTGGTGCGATCAATGACACAAACACCTGCTGCGTTTGGTTTAAAGACACTACCATCAACCAGTTATGACCCCCAACACATTTGTATTTCCTTCTCATATCCCTTTACCTCCCTTTCAGATGAAAATCGTGTTCTTTGTAATCCACAACATATATTTGATAGTTTCAGTTTATTTGCAGATTCAGATTACCTATACACATCATTGCATTAATAAATGCATAATGTGCATTACTCTAAAATGTGTCATTCTGCCTAATGAGTACTTGAACTTTTGGTACTATTTCACCTGATAACAAACACCTTGTGATCTTGGTGATTTAGTAATTACACAGGCGGTGCCCCCCGGTTGTAATTGTACAACATTACTTTTAAGCTATCCTAAAAAAGTCAGTAAATGTTTTTTTTTTTTTTTTAAAGACTACATTTACATAGTCAAAAGGTCCTTTTGTTCAGCCTCACAATGCTATTGGGTATTATATGTGTTTATCGGTCCTGCCCTCTGGCCATACACTCACACAACTTCCGAATCTACAAACGAGCAACATCTATCGTTTTATTGGACTGGATTTGTCAGATTCAAGTAGGAAGTAAAATGCCTCAAATGTGTTTTTTTGTGATTATTACAATGTTTAGAACATGTACATATTCAGTTTTTGTGGAATACATTCGTCAACTATTTATTTATTTTGAGCACCTTATGTCTTTGTTGCAATATTACATACCTGGGTCAGTGTGGTAGTCAAAATAGCATGAGCATATAGATATTTATTAATAATTTTTTCTATTTCAGAATGCCACCAGCAAAGAGAGGTCCTGTATTCAGTGTGTAGGATGTGATGCCATCCAAAAGGAGAAAGTGAGTTTGAGATGGAATCAGAGGACAGTGACACTATATGAGTAAAGAAGAGGCAGATGACCCAATGACTGCCCAGTCAGTGATTATGTGGACATTGAGTCCAAACCAAATAAACACACCAAGCCCTGTGACAGGTATCGCTGGCTAAAAAAAGATTGTATCAGTCCCAATACTGATTGTTCTGGTCCAGATATCACAGAGGAATTCATTTACAGGTACACAAACACGCAATGCAGCAAGTGTGACGTCCAGTGGCGGCGCTAGGGGGTGGCTACTTGGGCTCAAGCCCCGGATGTTTTCTGAAAAGCCCCGGATGTTTCACTTAAAAAAAAAAAAAAACATTTTTAAATTTAATCTTTTTTTTTTTTAAAACGTCTCGGGAGTAATGTGCAGTACCGGAGTCCACCAGAGAGGCAGCCACTGTGGGACATTAGCCTGCGTACTGCGTAGCCTGCCCTGAAGAATAAGTGATCCTTCCTAGTGCCTGACGAGTTTTAAGCTAATAGCCTATACAGTTATGGATATTAGAAAGTTATTGTCATTAAAGCAGCCGGCGCCACAAGCTGCAGCAGCAGCAGCAGTATCAGCAGCTGACAACAATGTCATCACCAGCAGTCAAGAAATGGATAATGTTTCAGGTTTGTTAATCTAATGGTGATATCTGCACTCTGGCTGACTGAGTAAGAAGTGAAAAAGAGTGATGTAACGTTAATGTTATAGCCTAGCTAGTAAACATGGAGTAACCACACTAAGTATACCCTTATATGTTAGTATGTATACAGAACATGACTAAAAATTATCCTAAGATGTAACGTTAACCCTTCATAACTCAGTCTACTTTTAAGACACTAAAATAACGTATTTTTATTTTGTTTTCACGCGTGGAATTATACCGGCTCTCGTTTCAGTACACATAACAACAGGCAACCCTCTGAATCAGACTCCGATTGGCTGTGACTGCATCCACTCAGAGTGTCCGATTCAGAAACGTGACTCTTACACCAGTGCTTCTCAAAGTGTGGTCCGCGGACCACTGGTGGTCCGTGAGCGCCCCCTAGTGGTCCGTGAGTATATTGGTAACATTTCACATTTGAAATAAATAAATACATTTAAGTTTTCCGCACTCTCGCAGGAATATCTCCGCAATGGAGCGCGCTAAAGTTTCACTTTCAATTGCATGATATAGCCCAGTGCAACACCTTCATCACACTTGCTGCCACTTGTTTGTACCATTTTCAGGCGATTTGTAATCTGTTCTAGAAAAATGATGCGATTTTGGATATTTGTGGAGTTAGGTGGTCCGCGAGTGTTTTTTTATTGGTTAAGTGGTCCTTGGTGTGAAAAAGTTTGAGAAACACTGTCTTACACTCTTTACGTCACAAACAAAGATGGTGGATGAGAATAGATCTATAAAACGATAAGCAATGCGCCAGAATCAAGGTGAGACTATCCGCATCCTTTAAAACTCTACGCACATTCGTTTCACCTTAATAAGTAAACGACTATTTGAGTGAGTTAAGGCATTAGTTTGCTTCATTAAAGGGTGTTAATGAGTGTTCTCCAGTGCCTTTTGTCCGCTTTAAGGTGTTATTAAGGTAGGGTTAATGTTGCTCTCAAAGTGCACCAGATTGATGCTTTCAACTTCAATATTTAAAAAAAAATCTTCCCGGGGGAGCATGCCCCCGGACCCCCCGAGAGGAGGCGACGAACCCCCTAAAGGATGTTCGGTCTACCCCCCACTTATAAAAAATAGCACTGTACCCCTACACCCCCCCCCCCCAACCAAACGACTCCTGGGCTAAGCCCCGGATCTCCTACAATCCTAAATCCGCCTCTGGTGACGTCCATCTGTGATTTTCCGACAACAGGAACTGTTTTTGGGACTACCATTGCATTACTATTTAATAAATGATTATTCATAACAAATATGACTGATGTGTGATTATGATTATTATTCATGCTATATACTAGGAGGCTGTGTCTCAGTGGATAGTGTGCTGGACTTCAAATAAGGGGGTAGCAAGTTCGAGTCCCACTGCAGTCAGCATGTCGTTGTGTCCCTGAGACACTTCACCTCAAATTGCTCCTGTGGGGATTGTCCACAGTACTGAATGTATGTAAGTCGCTTTGGATAAAAGCGTCTAACAAATGGCATGTAATGTAATACTGATATAGGGCTAATTAAGCAATAAATCCTTCAAATTGACCCTTAGTTATTCAATACATTTATTCAGACAATGTGAGTAGAAATACAGAAATTATGCTCCCACCTAAGGCCAACGTTGCAATATTACAACATTTCCCTAAAAACATACCAAAGCGTAAACAATTTGAAAACTCTTTAATTTCTGCTCCAGAAGCTCCCTACAACATCTGAAAGGTAAAAAAAAAAAAGAAGCTTTACAGAGTTAGAACATTTTGATGCTAATACACTACTTTTTTACTTTTTATATTTTGATATTTAAAATGTTCATTCTTGTTTTTTAAATTAAAATATTAGATCCATCACAAGAGTGATATCCCACAAGTGGTTGATGAAGTTTTCTCAATTCCATTGGGCCCCGTAGAGCCTGAATACGACCCTTTCTAATATCTTGTTGGTTTGAAAAGGCTGCATTACTTACAAGGCATTGCTGGAAACTGACTTAACTTGATTACCCAGGGGCCCACACCTGTTCCTGTGCATGCATTTGACTGGGCCCCGTCAATAGTTGAATCCTGCCAAAGTATACTAGATAATGTAAGTGTAATTTATTATATGGATCCTTTACACAGATAATAAATAATGATGGTGATAAATAAATAAAATATCAGTTTTTTAAGGTCTCCGTACAGTAAATGACATTGTAAATACATCATTACCAGTAAATATCTTGAATACATTTACTTGAGTGAAAGTATGTCAATATTATCATAATATGTACATTTTATTAAGCAGCAAAATGGCCCCTTTTCCTGATGTATGATTGTATATTATATTATAGGATCATTTTTTACTGTTACTAAAGGATACAATATATTTGAATGTGGCACCTGGTCAAGGTGGAGCCACATGGATTTTATATATCAAAACAGTGAATTTATACGCTTAATATTTTCAGAGAAAAAGATAAAACAATTGTTGAAAAAAATGCCTTTGAAATGTAGCGGGGTCAAAGTATTTAAATATTCAGAGTTTAAAGAGCATATTGTGTTTACTTTCAGGTACATACAGTATATTGTGTGCCTCTAACTGTAATGTTCAAAAAGCTCTTTATTTTCCTCATACTGTCTGTGCTGCAGCACCACTTTTCACCCTCTGCCTGAAACCACTCTGCTCCGATTGGTTAGCTGGCCAGCTTTGTTGGGATTCGTGAACTGCTTAGAGATGTCCCACCTCTTAGCCAATAATATACTATGTAAAGTGGAAGTGTGTGGGAGAGAAACTCCCTCTGGAGGGAACACATGGATTTTAGCCTTTGCGGACCATTTACATGCACTAAAAGCTACAGTTGCAAGAAAAAGTATGTGAACCCTTTGGAATTACCTGGATTTCTGCATAAGTTGGTCATAAAATGTGTTCTGATCTTCATCTAAGTCACAACAATAGACAAACACAGTCTGCTTAAACTAATAGCACACAAACAATTATATGTTTTCATGTTTTTATTGAACACACCATGTAAACATTCACAGTGCAGGGTGGAAAAAGTATGTGAACCCCTAGGCTAAAGACTTCTTCAAGAGCTAATTGGAGTCAGGAGTCAGCCAACCTGGAGTCCAATCAATGAGACGAGATTGGAGGTGTTGGTTAAAGCTGCCCTGCCCTATAAAAAATACACACCAGTTTTGAATTTGCTATTCTTAAGAAGCATTGCCAGATGTGAACCATGCCTCGCACAAAAGAGCTCTCAGAAGACCTACGATTAAGAATTGTTGACTTGCATAAAGCTGGAAAGGGTTACAAAAGTATCTCTAAAAGCCTTGATGTTCATCAGTCCACGGTAAGACACATTGTCTATGAATGGAGAAAGTTCAGCACTGTTGCTACTCTCCCTAGGAGTGGCCGTCCTGTAAAGATGACTGCAAGAGCACAGCGCAGAATGCTCAATGAGGTGAAGAAGAATCCTAGAGTGTCAGCTAGAGACTTAAAGAAATCTCTGGCACATGCTAACATCTCTGTTGACGAATCTACGATACGTAAAACATTGAACAAGAATGGAGTTCATGGGAGGACACCACGGAGGAAGCCACTGCTGTCCAGAAAAAACATTGCTGCACGTTTGAAGTTTGCAAAAGAGCACCTGGATGTTCCACAGCACTACTGGCAACATATTCTGTGGACAGATGAAACCAAAGTTGAGTTGTTTGGAAGGAACACACAACGCTATGTGTGGAGAATCCAAAGGGTTCACATACTTTTTCTTGCAACTGTATATAACACACTATAGGAAAGGGAAACTCCAAAAAGTATAGGGCCCCTTTAAGTACAAGTACTGTACCCTTTGAAATGTACATTCCACACAATGATGTTCGGACACAGTAAACCTTTCAAAACACTTTTATTTTCATCTTCTATGTCTCACAAAATGAGAAGCTCACAAACAACATTTCCTTGGTGAGTTTAAACAAGGCAGTGACACGTGTAGCTCACTGTATGTGTACCATTAAATGAACATTGCCTAACCTGCACCAGTCTAAAAAACACTGAGATGGATCAGATCAGACCTCTACGTGTAAAAACATTTGTATGAGCTGGCTCTCTAAAACACAACAGCATACAACAGCGTTAAATATAGACATTTCCTTCATTCACATTGAAAGAAATGTAAAAAAAAAACGACCATGAGCTCAAGGACAGGAAAAAACATGTTGACCTATACCTTAAATATTAACCCTTCATTTAATACTCTAACCATAATATAAATTAAAACAGGCCATCCATAATATCTCATGCTTTATTTACATTCAGAGATGAGGCGTTCATGGGCAGAAATGAATGTTTTTTAAAGGACAGCTGCAGGCATGCACTGCTGCTGTAACAGAGGTACTGTACCGCGGTGAACACACTTCATCAGGGTGACTTTCACTAGAGCATCACACAGCCGTCACCAGGGGAACCAGCCATCTCCATGCTAACCAGCGCCATGGAGATCCTGCAGCTGCCCTTTGATGTAAGTGAGCAGTGATGATAACACATGGCAGGAGGAGAGGGGGGGAGTGGGGGAGGAGGACCTTGGAGAGTTGTCAAGGTGGAGGCTCCTTTCATACTCCATCCATCCTCACTGTATAGAGTCTACAGCCTGATCCCAGAATAGAACCATCAGTACCAGATCTGTTTTTGTATCTTCTTGTTACTCTTAAAACCTATTGGGGAAATAATATATTTTCACTACAATGTATGCCTTTGAGATGTTTACATTCAGGTATTTTTTTGTTGAATGATCTAAAATCAATTCTTAACATTTTAAGAACAGTATTCATTCTGTGATTTATTTGTCTTGTTGACTAAGTAGAGACACTACAGGCACAATTTGATGCCTTTGAAAGTAGTGGAAATAAAGAATTCAAAATATACATTAAGCTATTTATGTTTTATTTTAAATTTGAATAAAACATTTCAAAAGACTTAGGCCTAGTCTTATCTTAATGTAAGTAATCCTGGTTATTTTTACTGAATGTACCTTTTTCTCCTGTAGTGTCTCCCCTAATCGGCTGGATATTTTTGCAATTATTAGTTTAGTTTGTGAAAATAAAAGTAAAAAAATGCAACTTCGGACAGTCTAAACTGACATTATTTTTTAACCAACACACAGCAAATTTTTACCATTGAGAAGCCAGAACCAGAAGATGTTTGACATTATGTGCTTATGTACTGTAGATGGTGTGATCTCGAGTGAAATGTGAGAAGTACCTTTAAAAGCTTGACATATTGGAATGCATGTGATGTAACTGAATGAATCAATTCCCCTCAGAACACCATCAACATGAGTCCGACTGCTCTTCCACAGATTGGCCACATTATAAACAGCAGATGCTATTAATAGACACAAATCTGTAATGGCGCGTTACATAACTGGTGAAAGGTACAAGATGTCAGCTATGGCACATACACCTTTTTTTAAACCATCGAATACAAAGTGAGATCAGTGAGATGATTGAGGCGAAGGAAAGAGAACAAAAGCAAAGAACGAAATGTAGATGAGAATACAAAGCGAGAACCGAAAGGAACTGAAATTACGGCTTGTGTCGATCCTGCTATATCGCAACACCCTCACTGTCGTCCCATAAGACGAAGAAAAAAAGAAGAAACTTATACTTAAGTTGCAATAACTGAGAAATGTTTGGCATTTTTCATGAAAAATGACATGGATGAAAAGAGTTGCCGATTAACTTCCTGTCATGTAACTAATGATTTCAGCGCTCAAACTGCAGGCAAACACTTGGCTAGGCTTAGAATATTAGATCATGAAAAACAAATTCACATTCAAAGATAACAACATGGGAACTGATGCCGGATGAAAGAAGCAACAAACAGGCTCCAGCATGCTCACGCTAACATCCACAGCGAGACACACTCAAACACACACTGACTCTACAGTCAATACAAACAGGTGTTGTGTCATTTAGCCCTGCAATACCCAACCCCACCCATCAGGTGAGTGGGATTATATCATGCATATTCACTGCAGGTGCAGCAGGTGTGTTTATGGCTGAAAAAAACGTGAACAGCTCCCCCTGCTGGTCGGATGCCGGCACTGCAGCTGCTCAAGGTGTCGTTCTGAAGCCTGAGTAGAAAATGGCTATGAGGCGTTTATGGCTACCGAAAACACCATAGGCTGCCAACACCCTACTAAATGAAGAGTTCCTTTCTTTTTTTTACATTCTCTACCTTTTTCATGCATTTCTTACCCTGATCCCTTTAAAATCATGCTATTAAGTCATAGCCAACCATGCGCTTTCTTTGGATTACTGCCATCTGAAATCCATACGTCAATTCTCTTTTTTTCTTCTTCGTGTAATCCCGTCACAAACACCATTTTGATCATTTACTAATCTTTGATAGGTACATAGGCGTCACTGAAATACTCATATTGTGCTGAATTATTACCACCATGTAAGAAAAAAAAACAACAACATATGATTATCGTGTAGCGCTTTCAGGACTTACAAGAAACATGAAGTGCGGCCCACCGAACGCATCTTCGCAATAGTGTGTGTGAATATATTGTAAATATACCTTCATATATCCTACAATATAAGCTGCTATATATACAACACATCCTGGATGTTTTACAAAGAGCATGGATAACATATTTTTCCTTTAACATTTTCAATATCATATTTCATCATACACTTGACATACACAGGAGGAATAGGTTCAACAACAACAAACGACTGTAAAATACTGTAAAAATATTGAAAAAACAAGAACATTCAGGGTCTGCCTGGTGAGTGTGAAAATAGGCTATTATAAATGAGAGGCTATTAGGGAGATAACACATGTCGGGTATGAAGAAAAAAGGACTTAAATGACCCCAGAGAACAACTTTTGCTGCTCTCAGTTTTTGCCCTTGAAGTAGTAAAAGGCTTAAAAGAAGCAGTGCTGGATGCAGGCATGCGGATCACTGGGGAAAACAACATTCGGCCAAGAAATAGAAAGAGAACAGAAGCACACCACGGGACAGAAGCCAAAGCAACTCGGAAAGAGATCTCCTGTTCAAGTAGAGCAAAAGAAAATAGACCTAGATGAGATGCAGTTGCTGCATATCAGGAGTGAAGTTCTACTGACATCTATTTAGCCGTCAGTGCTGAGAGAAAGCGGAGCTGCACTGTCTAATCACCCTCATCACTCCATCGCTATGTGTTGTGCAGTGTGTAGATCCACCTTCAGTGAAATAGAAGCTAAAAGCTGTAATGTCCGGCCTGTGTGCGGAATGTGAAAACACCGTGGTGATGTGGCAGAAAACAAGGAGCTGGAATGTAAATGGCTCCATAAGACCTGGTGATGTGTTCAGGTCCAGTGACTGTTACAGCGCTCCGATCAGAGCGGCTGCAGCAGTATAACTGAAAACAAGTCGTCTTAAAATGTGATGTTTTAATAGTTTGGTCCCAAAACTGAGTGAAAAGTCAAGAGAAAAGGTGGGAGAACGTGGCTGGAGAGGTGAAAGAAGAAAAGAGGAGAAAAGGAAAGAAGCTGGATGTACGTCCCTGTGTGTTCCATATGAGCACTTCTCCTCCCGCTCAGTCTGCGCTGCTCCCACAGACACATGGTCTCTGCAGATGTGTGACCCTCCCACCTCCTGCACCCACACCCCTGCTAGTGCTCCTCTTCCAGTCACAGGATCTGCACCTCCTCAGTCCCATGAGAAGATTGGGGTGCCGGGTAGGGCGTCATGGTTTTGGGGGAAGGGAGTGGGGTAGAGACCCTCTCTCCTGCTCCCCCTTCAAGCAGAGCTCCAAACCCTCCTGGATCTCAAATAAAAACCTATGCAGGGAGACGGCCTGGCAGTGCAACGCTGTGCCGCTCCCGGCGCCCCCCCCCGCCTCACTTCTTGACGGCCTGCCGGTAGCTGTGTCTCTGGCCGTCCTGCCGCAGCTTGCCGCTGCAGCCGCTGGCCCTGCTGCTGTTGCCCCCGTCCCGGCCGCTGCTGGCCTTGCTCACCTGGCTGGCCTGGCTGGCCTGGCTGGCCTGGCTGCTGTCCTGCAGCGTGGGGCTGGAGTGGGCCCTCTGCAGACTGTTGTCCTCCAGCAGCTGGGACTCGAACAGAGACAGGTCCTTCTCGCCGCTCCGGATCTTAGCTCGCAGCAGCATGACATACGTCCCGTACCGGGTTTTCTGATAAAGGCGAGACAGAACTGGTGAGTACGGTAAAACATTTAAACTTAAATATAGCACCATTAAACTTCCCCAGTTGAAGACTGAGAGCAACATCATCATTCTAGTATTAATAGGTATCTGATATTTAAAGCATTACTAATATTTAGTTTACATGATACATGTCTTTGTTTGTTAACAGTAAAATAAACATTTATTAAAGTTTGTGAGTTTATCATTAATTAATTATGGTTATAATAGGTGTTACTGACATGTTATGTTTATTAAATATCTCTTTGGATCACTCTCTCTGATAAATACAGTAACAATAAAATACTGTCAACAGCTATTGGAAAAATAAATGTTCTCCATGTTGTTAGGAATAGAAAGTGATACGAATCAGACTACGAACATTATGAAGAAACCTTTCAGTTAAAACATCCAGAATACAGATTAATACAAAGTTGGTCACCATAAGAATAAAGGTATGCATAATAAGTTGGCGTATGCAAGTGCCACTGAAGTAGAGATTTAATGTCTCAGAGTATTCCAAAATCTTTAGAAGACACATACAGTATTTCATACATTTTGCAAGTCTCTAGAAAGGAAATGGGTAATAGATGTAACTAATACATTTATACACGAAACTCCCCCAGTTGTTTACGGGTATTGTATAACAACTTTGATTAAATTGTTTAAATATGCAAATGAGTCATTATCTAAGGCTAACCTTTGGTATGGAATTCTACAGTCACTAATAGACATATGCAGTCAAATAAACCCAAAGCTGTGGGTTGGATGTTTTCTTTCCACTGCTATAAAGCAAAATAGTCAAACAAAATGGACCAGTGAAGATTGGAGAGCTGAGAGGGCTGCAGTGATGTAATGATGATTTAACGCTTCACTGCATTTCCCATTTCTTTCTTTTATCAGTGTGCAGCTCACCTCAAACTCCAGGTACTCATCCCGCTGCCGGTACTCTTCCAGCTCGCGCCCTTTGACCTTGCGGTCGGGGGGGTAGGAACGCAGCTCAGTCAGCTCAGTGGACAGGGCTCTGAAGCGGTTTTCATGGGATCTGACCTGCTCCTCCTGTAAGAACAAGGTCAACACGGAGACATGAGGAGAGGGGAAGCAAGGAGTACACACCTGCCTCCTTTCAGTTAGTGTTTGAATGTTCTGAACTGAAATACCATCCTGTTTGTCAGGGTATTGGTGCAACTGTGAAATTAAAAACAAATATCCCGTTCGAACAAGATGAGAAGAATAGAATAACAAGACAAAGAAAAATGTCTTGTTATGACAAAAAGTGTTTTCCGAGAAGCTTTTCACTTTCCCGTCACAACAGATCGACTTGAGGAGTGAAAAGCCTGCACTCATAAACCACCAGTGACCAGCAGTGATTTATTACATCAGTGTTAGGTGGAGCGTTTAGTCATGAAAATATAATTCTAATTACTCTGCCGTCAAGTTATGAAAAATGATGTGTCCACTCCTTTTGAAAAGGACTTTTTTGAAGGATTTGTATCGCCTTGTTGTGATGAATTTCACAGGAGCCTGGACTTGCCTCTGACCAGGTACAGCCAGTGGTGGAATGTAATTAAGGCCATTAACTCATTTGTGATAGTTTTGTTTGTGATAAATGTAATTTGAGAGATACGTATTTGTTTCCCACCTTTTTTTAATTACGCCAAACTGTAACTGTCTGAAATTGGTAAAGGTTTGTTTGAAATCTTTCACTATCTGATTACATTTTTGGTAAACAATATTCGAAATGTAAACATTTATGGGATGCCAGCTTTGTACTTTGCAGATTACAGTATTCAGTGTAACGGAGCGTCCACACAGCAGTGTGCGTTGACGCTTGGAGGTGGGCGTATCTGAAGCTTGGGGATTTTTTGAGAGCAACGCGACCAACAACCAATCACATGAATCTCCCGCCCCCGACATACAAAGCAATAGCAATGTTAAAACGAAGTAAACTGGATATAAAATCCCCAAACAGGCGAAAACCTACCAGTTTCACCCACTGTCTCTGCCTCCTCCCTCCATGCCTCGCTCCTCCGGTTTGTATCCCGGTAGATGAACAGAGACTGATCATACAGCACCGGGTGATTCACTACCGCTATAATGAATTTTCCCTCCATTTTTTTGAATATGAGGAAATGACCTGCGTCGTCTCTCCCAGCATACACGCGGTTTGATTGGCTAGCGATTGTACTGGCAGATTTGCATAAACGGGATTTCATTGGCTGACGCCTCCGTCGAGGCGTCAAAAGTTGAACATTGCTCAACTTTTGACGCTAGCTACGCCAGCAACGCTCCACGTCGCTTCCCAAAATGCAGTTCGGCTAAAAGTGACGTCACCCCATTCAAAGTGAATGGGCAGAAGCGTTGGAAGCTTCAACGCTGTGTGGACGGGCCGTAACGGCCTGTCCACACAGCGGCGTGCGTTGACGCTTGCCGGCGGGCGTGTCTGACACTCGACCAACAACCAATCACATGAATCTCCCGCCCCTGACACACAAGCAGCGGTTTGATTGGATAGAACTTGTACTGGCATATGATTCGATTGGCTGACGCTTCTGCCGAGGCGTCAAAACATTGCTCAACTTTTGCCGCGAGCAACGCCAGCAACGCTCCACGTCGCTTCCCACGATGCAGTTCGGCTAAAAGTGACGTCACCCCATTCAAAGTGAATGGGCAGAAGCGTTGGAAGCTTCAACGCACGCCGCTGTGTGGACGGGCCGTTACAGGCATACATTTGCAGTAGTGGAAAAGTACATTTACTCAAGTACTGTACTGAAGCACCATTTAAGGTACTTTTTCCACTATATTTATTTGATAACTTTAGTAACTTAAAAAATTAAGCTGTTTGCATACAAATCAAATTATTCTATTCTCACTGTTTCCAGAATTCTAACAAACTAAGCAGTAATCGATTAATGGAGAAAATAATAGGCAGAATAATCCATAATTGAAATGATAATTTGTTGAAATTGAGCTCAACTCTTTCAACTACATCGGTGAAATATTGCTTTAATAGCAAAGCATGAGGAATAATAATGTAGTTTTATAATATGATTTCCTTCACAGGGGACCTTAAAGGTAGGGTAGGTAAGAATGGAGAAACCAGCACGAGTGCGCTAGAATTTGAAAATACACAACCGAAAAAAATCTGCCTCTTCCTTACAGAGCCCCTCCTCCAACACACACGAACGCGCACATGACCAATGAGGGCACGAGATAAGTTTGTGCACAGATGGAAGGCTGACAGGCAGGTAGACCATCCAGTTACTTTAGCCGGGCCGGCTCAGATGATTGGTCGTGCTTTTTACAGCGCTACTGCTTCCACAGATGAAATATTTGTATATATTTATTGTCAAAGCATTTAATGTATTCATTGCTATCGGGATGTTAAGAGCATTCCATGGAATATAACAACAAGTGTTTCTGAAGTGAATTACCTACCCTACCTTTAATATACATCAAATAATTAAAGTACATTTTTCTTATTACACTAACAAACCACCATTTTCAATGCAGGACTTTCATTGTCATCTGTTAAAGGGTATCTTTTCAAATTGGTGTAAATCCTTTAACCTAGCCAATGAACTGAACACTTTCTCATTCACTGTATGAACTGGGTCCTATAATGCTCTTTTCGAGGGGGGATGGGGTTGGGGGGAAAACTCGCTCTTGAGGGAACTGTGGCATTTTAGTCTTTGCAGACCATTTACATGATGAAAAAACCCTTTATAACACACAACAGGAAAGGGAAAAAGCACAATAGGGCCCCTTTAGGATACCTCCGACAGCTTTGACATGGTCCCAGGCAGCAGCGGCCGGCTGAACTTCTTCTGGGAGCCGATGGCTGCTGGGAAAGGAGGAGCTGAGAACATGGTGGCCACCGTGTTGATCCTTGTGATCCAAGACTGCATCTGCTCCGCGTTCCTGTGATGTATAACACACATAGAATGCAATTAGAAACAGATCTGAAACAGTAGGTACAACACACACTTATCAGCCCTCTCCATGCCCACATCAGCACATGGCCAGCTTACAGCATCAAAGGGATAATTATCAGAGAACGCAGCCTTGCTGTTGACAAAGAAATTATTTTGGAGCCAATTAATGCATGAGAGAAAAGGCCCTGTTTTACACGAACAGACCCATTAGGGGCCCATGAGAAATGTCAGATTGGCTTAGACAGCCTTGCTTTAATTCCCCAGGGAGGGACGAGGATGGAGAGAGATGGAGAGACAGAAAGAGGAGAGGGAGACACAGAGAGGGGTACAGTATCTGGGACAAATGCAAGCTGCAACTGGAGCACAGAGCCTCCAGGGGGGCTGAAACATGTGGCCAGTCATGTGCCACTTGCTGATCAAACACACACATGCACACCGCAACCTTTCCCCTTAATATACATGTATGTATACAGTACAGTACGTCCTGTGCATGTTTCATTGATCCGTGAGCTCTCTGGGTGTGTTCTGCTGAACACCATGTGCACAGCTGGCTCTGCATGCTGTTAGCTGAGGTTGGGTGCTCAGCTTCATTAGGCAGCCGCAGTTACGCTACAGAGCTAAAAGGACAGCGTATGTCTCTGCAGCTTAATCTTCAGGTTTCCAACGGATGCTTTAACCTGCTGCAGGGATTCGCTCACACTCAGCCACAAGAGCATTAGTAAGCTTCAGCACTGATCATCAGGTCTGCCTAATAATCTAACTCCAAATGTGGATGGGGTTAAGGTCAAAAACTCAATGTGCATTAGTGCAGACCTGTCAAAACTGCTTGGGATAACCACTTATTTTTGGTCTATAGTGATATTGTCGCAATGAAGACTTATACCAAATAGCGGCCACAAAGCTAAACGATCATTATTGTCTTCAAGTGTGTTTGCATGCATAAAACAATTTGGTTGCTAGCTGATTTTGTGTTAAACAAAAACATCTAAATAAGGGCTTTTTTCCCTTCAACAAAAAGGCTGATTTTGCAAGTTATCTTCCTCCACCTTAATGATTCAATATTTTACCACAGAACATTTGAGTACTTGTTAAATAATGAGAGAGAAAGTGCTACTCTGGGATGGGGGAGAAATCTGATTATTTATGAGCTGCATCTATATTCATATTTATAGAAAAGTGGTTACTTGATGTTATCTATCAACCTCCTTTTTGGTTGCAATCATCTATTGCATGTATTCATCTTGGATCATATCTGTAAGAGTGACAGGTGTTTTACTTGTTTTTATATTATTTGTATTCGTATTTTATTCTTGTTTGTTATTTTGTTTCATTTGTATTTTTTATTTGCTTTCTTGACCAAATAAATTTCACCTTTGAGTAATCAAGAAAAGGTCTTAGGTCCTATGTAACTTAAGTGCATATAAACCCATTAATTTTATGCTGTAGATTTAAAATGTTTGCTCATTTGCACCAAGGCGGCAAAAAAACAACCTTGAAAAATAACTGTAGAACCAAAGGTACACAAACTTGTCCACATACTTTTGACCACACACTGCAGTTTTGACAGAAAAATGTAAATGGCTCATGCACGCTTGCATAGTCAAGATGAGACACAGGTATGCAGGGTATGATTAAGGTTTAGTTCTGGTTTTAATGTTATGGTCTGCTGCAGATGCTGTGCAGCAGACCGTGCACACGCTCCACAGTATGTAATAGTGTCTACACATTATGTCAGCTCAGTGAGGAACACAGAGCAGGACTCACGGGGCCTGGAAGAGATACACCCTCCAGTCGGCGGTGCGCAGGTAGAAGACGTTGGGCCTCTTGCTGTAGTCTGAAGCCTTCATGGCCAGAGAGTGGTGGATGGACACGGCGTTCTTCAGGTCCTCCTCTGATAGCTGTTTGTCAGGCCTGTACTCCCCCTGGCAGGGCAGTAATGAATAAGAAATGAATGCTATGATTAACACCAAGGGGTCTCAGCACTTATTAAAGTGGGAGTGCTGACAAAGAAGAGATTTTATTGGACGAGCAGCAGGAGAGTTACATGTGAACATAGCAGTGCTTTGAAAGTATCCCTTGTGAAAACAACTGATTAATTCTCTCATCTAAACGTACCTTCTGCTGGACTACACTCTTAGATATAAAGGTTCTAACTAGAACAAAAGGGGGTTCTTCAGCTTGTTACCAAGGGGGGACCTGTTTTTGGTTCTTGGTAGAACCTTTTATATAGGCTCCAACCTAAAACCCAACCTAAAAGGGTTCTACCAAGAACAAAAGAGGGTTTTTACCTAGAACTCAACATGAAAGTGAACTAACCTAGAACCCTTTCAGAGGGTTTTATCCGGAACCCAACATAAAAAGTGTTATACCTAGAACCCTTTCAAAGGGTTTTATCCGGAACCCAACATAAAAAGTGTTATACCTAGAACCCTTTCAAAGGGTTTTATCCGGAACCCAACATAAAAAGGGTTTTACCTAGAACGGTAGCTGTTGTGTTGGCAGAGGTTGCCCCACATGAAGCCAGGACAATGTGTCACAGCCCTTTTTAAACATGTAAACAGGATATTGGCTGTGACTCCATCGGACATACTGCTTGATATAAAGCATTCTGTAGAATGTGTATGAAAGTAACCCGACACAAAAGAACATTCTGGAAAGTAAAGTAAAAACAGTCACAAGTAATACAATTGTTTCTAATACAGACTTTTTCTGGCAGACTAAAAAAAACAAATAAATAACTAAATAAATACCAAAGTAAAATATACTCTGTAATAATGGGAGTTACTTACTTTTTGCAGATAGAGAATAAGCCCTTTGAGGATGATATAGAAGGTCTTCCAACCTCTCTTCCCTCTTGGTGCTGCGAGGAGAAAAAAGTGATAACATCAAAAACACATATATACAATTGCCTTATATGTTACATTTGTTTTAGTTTTGACCTACTTTCCACTTGATGTATTAGATTAATTAAATACATGTATGAGCTTGGGTGGATTAACCCTCCAAGTCCAGGAGGCAAGGAACACATTCAATTAGGATTTATTCAAAGATATAAATCGTGAAAGTATGCAGAGAACTAGATACTGCATTCAAAGATGGAGCCTTTTTGCCTTTTGGCTTTAACTATAACTGAACCTTATTTAACTATAACTGAACCTTATTTAACTATAACTGAACCTTATTTAACTATAACTGAACCTTATTGTGGGGTGGGTAATTCAACTGTATGTCAATGATTGTCTTTCGAGGATTGCGTTTTTTGTTGTTGCAGAAAAAAAGCAGTTAAAAGCTAATATTTTCAACCCAGATCTGCCTATAATTACATTATTACATTACATTGCATTTAGCTGACGCTTTTGTCCAAAGCGACTTACAATAAGTACATTCGACCAGGAAGACACAACCTTGAAGAAAACAGAATCATATAAGTATATCAGGTTTCATAGAGCCAAACATTTCAAGTGCTACTCAACTGGCTTTAGGTAATCCAGTCCTTTATTGGTATAAAAGTGCTTCGTTAATCGTTCTAACGCTCGAAGTGGAGTCGAAAGAGATGAGTTTTCAGTTTGCGCCGGAAGATGTGGAAGCTATCTGCCGTCCTGATGTCAATGGGGAGCTCATTCCACCATCTTGGAGCCAGGATAGCAAACCCACGTGTTTTCGCCGATGGGAACTTGGGTCCCCCTCGCAGCGAGGGCGCAACGAGTCGTTTGGCTGATGCAGAGCGTAGTGCACGAGCTGGGGTGTACGGTTTAACCATGTCCTGGATGTAGGAAGGGCCAGATCCATTCGCAGCACGGTAAGCAAGTACCAGTGTCTTGAAGTGGATTCTAGCAGTTACCGGAAGCCAGTGAAGGGAGCGGAGGAGCGGAGTGGTGTGGGAGAATTTAGGAAGGTTGAAAACCAGACGAGCCGCTGCATTCTGGATGAGCTGCAGAGGTCGGATGGCACATGCAGGTAGACCAGCCAGGAGGGAGTTGCAGTAGTCTAGGCGTGAGATGACGAGAGCCTGGACCAGAACCTGAGTCGCTTTCTGAGTCAGCTGGGGACGTATCTTCCTGATGTTGTAAAGCGTGTATCTGCAGCAGCGGGTTGTAGCAGCGATGTTTGCAGTGAAGGACAGGTTGTTATCTAGGGTCACACCCAGATTCCTTGCAGTCTGAGTCGGGGAAACAACTGAGGTGCCGATGTTGATTGTTAGGTCAAGAGTTGGACAATCTTTTCCCGGGAGGAAGAGCAGCTCAGTCTTGTCAAGGTTGAGCTTGAGGTGGTGAGCAGACATCCACTGAGAGATGTCAGCTAGACAAGCAGAGATGCGTGCGACGACCTGGGTCTCTGAGCGGGGAAAGGACAGAATTAATTGGGTGTCGTCAGCGTAGCAGTGGTAAGAAAAACCATGCGGGCTAATGACTGATCCGAGCGAGTTTGTGTACAAGGAGAAGAGGAGGGGACCAAGAACAGAGCCCTGAGGGACCCCCGTAGTTAATTGACAAGGGTCGGACTCAGACCCTCTCCAAGTCACCCTGTAGGTACGGTCTTTCAGGTATGAGGTGAGGAGGGAAAGTGCAGAGCCAGAAACTCCAAGTTTTTGGAGAGTGCGAAGGAGGATCTGATGATTCACCGTGTCGAATGCAGCAGACAGGTCCAACAGGATGATGACAGAGGAGAGGGATGCAGTTTTGGCAGTGTGCAGTTCCTCCGTGACAGCAATGAGAGCAGTTTCTGTGGAGTGACCTGCCTTGAAACCAGACTGGTGCGGATCCAGAAGGTTGTTCTGATTGAGATAACAGGAGAGTTGTTTAAAGACAGCGCGTTCAAGTGATTTAGACAGGAACGGGAGGAGAGAGACAGGCCTGTAGTTTATAACATCAGACGGGTTGAGAGTGGGTTTCTTTAGGAGAGGGTTTACTCTTGCCTCCTTGAGACTGTTTGGAAAGTGACCAGAAGTTAGAGAAGTGTTGATGAAATGGGTGAGAAACGGTAGAATATCAGGAGCGATAGTCTGAAGGAGGTTTGAAGGGATAGGGTCCAGAGGACAGGTGGTAGGGCGGGCAGAGGTAATGAGGGTAAGAACCTCACTTGGAGAGAGAGGGGAAAAGGAGGTTAGTGTGTTGGTGGAAGGAAGGTCTGGTGACCCAGCGGTGAGTAAAGGTGAGTCAGAAAAAGAAGAGCGAATATCATTAACCTTTTTTTCAAAGTGGGTAACAAAGTCGCTTGACAGAAGTGAGGAGGGGGGAGGAGCTTTTGGAGCTTTTGGAGCTTTTATAATATTCTTAATACTTCAAATATTGAACTGTGGTAACAAACCATACAGTACACTTTCAAAATGATTGGAGAAAAGCATTTCGTGTCAAATAAGATGTATATAGTCAACCTCGAACACGCTGATTCATCCTTCTTCTTCACAATTTTTTTTTTTTTACCCGATACAAACTTTAGCTATGAACTTTTCCTTACATTTTTGTAAAGCACTTTATAACTTCAGATTGAGTCAATAGAAATGTTATCAATAATGTCAAATCAGAACAAATTAGGTGGAGATCATGTGTAGTGGTAAAACAAATAATTACCTTTTAATTTGTTCACTATTTTATAATAATTTAGATTAATCGATTAATATATTGGTCTATAAGATGTCAGAAAATAGTGAAAAGTATCCATCCCAATCTCTCAAAATCAAAGGAGTTGTCTTTAAATGTCTTGTTTAGTCAGCTGGAACATTCACTTCCCAATGATATAAAACAAAAATGCAAGAAAATCTTTATATTTCAGAGTCTGAAAACAGCATGTGTGACATTTTTGCATAACAGTTGGCAAAATATTGACTGGCGATCGACTATTCGACATACTGACTTAATGTTGCAGCTCTAACGATGTGTGATCAAAGGTTCAATAATAGATACTAAATGGACCTTGAGGTGAGCTTATTTTGAAACTGTAGGTGGTAAAACGTAAAGAAAAATATCCTTCGTACTTCTCTTGCCGTCAGAGTCTGCGTGCACTTTGCGGACGAGGAAGCCGTTCTTGTAGAGCAGCGACCCGGACGGATGCGCCTCCTCTGTCGGGGGCTTCCCACTGCTGCCCTCCGCCTTCAGAGATCTGGAGGCGGTGGAGTCACACAGGCTGTCCCCGAGCTCCGAGAACGACTTCCGCAGCTCTTCCTCGTCGCTATGGAGACAAGAAAAAAAAGAGAATGAAAAAAAAAAAGCAGATCCCATGGTGATCAACACTTATGTGTCATGTCTCATTTGCAATGCGAATAAACACATCATAATTCATCCTGTCCATGTGCCTCTCACTCTGTGCTTGTTACAGGACAACAGGTCCAGAGATTTCACACACTTACTGTACGCGGGGAACTTTTATTTTCATACAGAACACATGAGTAATATCCAACCTCTACGGCTGGTGTGTTGCCAGAGCTGTATAGTTGCACAAGACATTTACAAAGCATCCTGTAAGCTACCTTCAAAGCTTTAACTGTGTGTCTTCCTGCTCCGGTTCTCCTGGGAAGCACTCTCCTTGATCAAAAAAGAACCACAGCTAAGCTAAAGAGTGACACCATCTATCTTGCTCCACCTTTGAGGTGAAAAACAGGGGCATCTTTACCCTGGGGGGGGTCGGTCGACTCCTCTCAGAAACACAGGCGCACCACTCTTACTCCTCCACCCTCTTGAAGCCTCATAGAGTACTTTAATACTTCATAGTGATACAACATAACATCTCAGTCTTATTTTATAAGCCAGCCTGGATCTGCAGAGGAAGACCGTGTGAAATCGAAGGTTTCACAACAACTGAATTGTTGTGAGAATCTTATTTATTTGTGTGAACGGAAATTGTGTTCATATGGAAGACATTTAATAAACACCTCTTAGATACTAGCCTGAGGTATGTCCGTATCAACTTTTAGTACTACACTACTACCTACAATCCTTTTAAAAATACATCTGAAAAGTATTTAAAGACACCCTTATGCTTCCTGTGGTGTGTTATATAGGTTGTTGTGCATGTAAATGGTCCACAAAGGCTAGAATAAAAAGGTGGCTCACGTGATGACATCATTATGTTACACTAAAGCTTCTATTGGCTAGCGCTGCAGCAAATTGTACGTGATAGGCGGGACTGTTACTGCTTATTATTGGAACTTTTATGAATTATTTAAACGTTGTTTTCTTTTATCCTTTACTTCTTTAAGTCGACTATTGTTTTTTATTTGGGATGGTATCTTTATAATACATTTTTGGCTACTAACTACTGCATAATGTTCAAACCTTTATCATAGTGTTTTTTAAATGTGTGTAGGTGAAATGTAAAAGATACAATAAATAATACAAATAGACAGCACAGTGTAAAGCACCATATCTGATGGACACAGCTAAATAAATATGACCAACGTTGTGGTTAACTGTAACATAGTTTCATTTCCATTATTAAAAAAGTATTAGAGAAACTGCTGAAAAGATAATTTACCAGCTTCTGTTTTTTATTAAAGAAAGTTTTCAGGCTGAGAGTTGTTGCTTAAGTTTCTGCGCAGATCGCTCATTAGAAACATTCCTTGAGGAGCCATCTCTGTAAATGAGGAGTGTTCATGAGCTGTTGAGTTCCTGCTCACTTGACTGCAGCTTTTTTATTAAACTACTCTGATGTGCGCTGTACTGTAAGTGTTCTTGTGTGTGTGTCTTTCCAAAAAACATGTATCTTATTTTGGTCTTTTCCATCTCTCTTCTATCCACCAACAGTGCATTTAACCATTGTTTGGATGATGAAATACTTTTGTTACGGTGATTTCATTTGGTTAAAAGTAGCATTTTTCTTTTTACCATTTGTGTGTTGTAAATAGTTTTCATTACTTTTTTATTACTTTTACCAAATAGTCGTCCATTTTATTTTCATTTGTAGACATTTTAATATACAGTTTAATTGTAATTTTTTATCATTCCCTTTTTTGTTTCTATTTTAATGTATATTCCAGTTTATTAACCCTTGCTTTATTTCGTATGTGTTTGATCATGGCTCTATTACCCTTTTGTTACCGTTTCAAAAACACCTGTTTATTTATTTTAAAATGTGTGTTTTGTTGTAATGTAACTAGCCCCTTTTTTATTTTGTACATGTTTTTTTATTTTATTATTGTTATTTTTTATTTATTCTTAATTCTATATCTTTTTTCTTTACCAACTGGTATAATATTTGGTATCTGTTGTTGCTTCTATTATGCCCTTTTTTTATTTTAATTGTAAGCATTTCCCTTCTGTTTTACTTTTTGCTTTCTTTAAAGTATTGTCTCTATTAATTATTATTTGTGTGTCCATCACAGCATTTATTTTCATCTGTTCTTTAAATTCCCTCGAAATGCCTGTTCCTGAGTATATGAATTGCTTGTATAAACATATATTACCGTATTGTATGTTTTGCACTGGAAACAGCCAGACAATACTAAGTGTACACATTACTACAGCAGCGCTAATCCCATTCTGCTCTAAATAACCGCTCACAATACGCTGTATGGATTCTTTGAGTGTTTTTTTAAAGGGATTTGTCACATCAGGAGATGATAAATGCTTTGAGCATCAACACTGAACGTCTCTGCCTGGTGAGGTAACATGGCAATTCCACTTGTTATCTCACCAGCCGGCACCCATGTAAAAGTTCAGCCCAAAAATAGAAAGATGGCTGTATGCCGAACCCCCCCGAGACCACGCTATGAGTAACCAACAGAACATAACAGCAGTTAACCCTGTGCAGGAGCCAGGGAGAGAAAAGGGAGACGGAGCCAATGAGCATGCAGCCTGTTGCCTGGTAACTGCTGGCCTGCTTCAATACCATTATACACGGAGGCAAAGTGGAAAGGAGATAGAGAGAGGGGGGAGGATGGAGGAGAGAGATAGAGGAGTGAGGAGACAGAGACCGAAGAGGGGGGAGACAAAGCTGATCCTTCTTAGATGGCAGAACATTATCCTCAATGATGTGAGTGAGAGGAGGAGGGGAGAGGAAAATAATAACAAAGGAAAACAAAGGGTAAGGAAAGAAGGGAAAGGAACAGATAAGAAAAGGAAGGAATACAGAAGATAGCGAGAGGAAACATTTGAAGGAAAGGAGAGGACAGGATAAGACTAACGAACACTGAACTAAGGAAAAGTTGCGGAAAAAAGTAAATAAAGAAAGAAAAGAAGGTGACAAAATGAAAAGGAAATTGATCAAACAAATAATAGCAAAGGAAGAGAGAGGATTGGCGGTTTAGGAACATTGGAAAAAAGGAAAGTACAAAAAAGAGACTAAAGAAAAGGAGATAAAAGGAAAAGGTAGGAAATATTTTTTTTTAAAAGATTAGGAAAAAAAGAAAGAAACAGAGGTAACAAAAGAAAGGATAACAACAACAGTGGAAATGAAATGTATCAAAAGAGGGAAATTGATTGGGGGAGGAGAGAAGAGGAAAAGGAAAAAAACATAAGGAAAAAGAAAATGAAATGAAAAGAACAAAAGGAAAAGAAGCAGGGCATGGAGCAGTAGAGAAACAAAGGAAATAATGACATTCATAGAAAAAACCGACAAAAAAAAAAGAAAAGAAAAAAGAATGACCATAAAAGAAAGAGATTACAAATACAGGCAGGAAACAAGTAAATTCTAGGAAAATGGAAATAAAACGAATGAAAAGAAAGACAATAAAAAGTCCATTAATGAACATTGATATATATATATATTAGGGCTGTCAGTCGATTAAAATATTTAATCGCATGATTGTCCATAGTTAATCGCGATTAATCGCAAATTAATCGCACATTTTTGATCTGTTCTAAATGTACCTTAGAGGAATATTTTTCAAGTTTTTAATACTCTTATCAACATATGAGTGGACAAATTTGCTTTATGCTAATGTTTATTATCATTTGAACAATGAAAATATTCTCATATTAAACACAACAACCTCTGAACATTAAAAATATTCGCCTCAATTCAACCTGGAACCTCTCTCATTCAATAATACAATACAACTGGTGTGTGTGTGTGTGTGTGTGTGTGTGTGTGTGTGTGTGTGTGTGTGTGTGTGTGTGTGTGTGTGTGTGTGTGTGTGTGAGTGTGTGTGTGCGTGTGTGTGATGGATCGTTGGAGCTATGTGCAACTCAAGGCATATGCTCGAACGGGAGTTGCCTGGACGCTGCAATCAACAGCTCCATATCCGTTAGCGCAGCTAGCTAGCACCAGATGCTAACAACAACAATGCACGTAAGGTCTCTCTCTCGCTCGGGCCACACATACACACACCCTCCCGGTCCTCCCAATAGCCAGTCGGTGCCTGCCTGTGAGCGTGGAAGTGTGGTCTGCCACAAGCGGGCGGCAGGAGCGGGGCTGTCAGCATCAGCTTGTAGATGGTATTTTAAACTCGATGCGCTCTGAAACTACGGGGAGGCCGAGAAAAAAAAATACACATGCGTTAATCGCGTTAAAATAATTAGTGGCATTCATTTTTTTTGCGTTAACGCGTTAATAACGCCACTAATTATTTAAAAATGTAAAACAAATGTAAAAATATTCCTCTAAGGTACATTTAGAACAGATCAAAGATGTGCGATTAATTTGCGATTAATCGCGATTAACTATGGACATGGACAATCATGCGATTAATCGCGATTAAATATTTTAATCGACTGACAGCCCTAATATATATATATATGTGCGGATGGCACACATCTGGCAGGTGAGAGATGGAGGCAGCAGACAATAGTGAGACAGGGGATTAGCAGAATGAAAGGAATAATGGAGCAGAGGGGGTCTCACCTGTCCCTCTCCCATCATTCATTTCAATCTCCACGCTGCACTCATCATGTCCTACTGTCATATTCTACAGAGGAGTATTAGGGTCACGCATAATGGGAAAAAAAAGAGAAGGCAGATATTCTTTTTTGCATCTCAATTTATGTAAATGTATATCCTGGTGACTACATCACTATAAAGAACCACAGTGACGCGTCCTAAAACCCGGATGTAAACTCCTTCCGGTTCCTTCGTTAAAACGCAATGCAATTTCTCCATAGGATTTTGGAAAATAGCTCGAAATAAGGTCTGTGGTTGACACACATTTAAGAGACGGATCACGTTTTGTTCAGCCGGATAATATCCACATGTCTATCCTACTTTTATCATTTTCGAAGCATAAATCTAGTCGCAAG